GAAAAAAAAAAAAGAGACGCTTTGCCAAAGTTACGTGAGAGAAAGAAAAAAAAAAAAAAAGAAGGGTGGGAAAGGGACAAAGGATGTGCTTATGGACACCCCTGCTCGGCCCCAACCCCTTGTGTTTTTCTCTCCCTTTTCCGTTTTTTGCTCGCCTCGTTCCTTCACTCCCAATTGAAAGATTTCTCCTTTTCTCATTCTTTTTTTGTTTGTTTGGGGAGGGGGGTCAATGGGAGGCGGAAAGAGTATTCGGATATCCCTCTTTCCAAAACTCATGAAAAAGCGCGTCGTTGAGCCCGTTCTAGCGCAGCACGCTGAAGCATCGCCTTGATGTCCATGTTAGGCGCCCCCGGAACACAAGAAAGCGGGGAAGATCCAATTGACGGCTGCCTAAAGAAGGGGTTGAGGCACGATGCCACAGCACTCGAACCCTGTTGGTTACGTTTGCGAGCACGTTGTTCCACAAACTGCTGGCCCCCTCCCTCCTTGGCATCGGTATCTGTTTGGTTCTTGTACGACGGACCTCCTACGGCATTTGCGTTGGAAGAGGTTCGGTTACTAAATGGATTGCTGGCAGGGATGTAAGCCGCACCGCCGGCATCTACGTGACCGTGAGGCGGCTCCGGCGACAGTGAAGGGTGCTTTGCACCGTCCACACCTAACTGCGGAGCCTGAGTGGGCTCACTCCGGCCAATCGCATTGTTGGAAGTGATTTGCCGTGGTACAAAAAGAGAGACGCGCGAGCCGTGCCGTCCAGCGCCGGGAACCGCAGCGGAGTTATAACTACCATTGATGTTCTTGTACATTAGATAGACAGGTTGCGTTCGTTTCGGCATCCGCACAGCTCCAAGATAACTGGGATCTGGTGGAGGCTTTTGCATGGGGCCCGAATATGGCTGCAGTTGCTGCGGCGGCGGCGGCGGTGGTGGAAGTGGTCTCCGTTGTTGTTGTTGCTGTTGTTGTTGGTGTTGGTGTTGGTGTTGTTGCTGTGGATTTTGTTGCTCAACTGGCTGTAATTTGCGGTGCACCACCGAAAATGAGATCCTCTCAGAACGTCCAGGTAACAACGGTGCTTCCACCGCAGACATGGGTGGAGCCGAAGGTGCACCTTGAGGCGCATCCCCTGTAGAGACCAAGGCAGAGACTTCCGCCGTTGCGACATCTGCGCCCTTGGCATTAAACTTTCTTAACGCAGCAATAGCAGGAGGAAGTAAATTTTGCTGCAGAAGAGTTTCAATGTAACTCTTAGGCATCACATCAGTCAGCATCCATTCTTGCAACCGACGTTGAAGAATTGGAAGCTCAAGCAGCTCCTCTAATTTAATGCGGTGTGCCGGCTCCCTATTCAAGAGACGTGGTACAATATTTCGCAGCTCGGTCGTGTACAACTTCGGAACAGGGTCATATTGCACCTTAAGAATGCGCTGCATCAGCCCCTTCATGCTAGTTGCGTTGAATGGATGTTTCAATGCCAAAAGTTCGTAGATTACCACACCAAGAGCCCATACGTCACTGCGGTGATCATAGGGGCGTTCTAATATAAGTTCGGGAGAAAGATAGTACGGGGTCCCCACAAAGGTCCTAGCTTGATCATACGTACCACTAAGTGTCCGTGCGATGCCAAAGTCTCCTAGCTTCAGAATGTTCTGGCTTGTCAAAAAGACATTTTGAGACTTGATGTCGCGGTGAAGGATCCTGCGCTGGTGGACATACGAGAGGCTCAGCACCAGCTGAATAATCCAATCAAGTACCTGAGACTCACGAAAATTGACACCATATGACTTTTTTATGCGTGCACTCAGGTCTCCACTATCGGCAAATTCCATGACGATACAAAGATGATCCGACTTCTTCAAAAGAAAACTATCTACATAATTGATGATGTTCGGATGTCGTAGAGAACTCAACAGATGCGCCTCATTGAGACTCTGTTGCCGCTCCTTCTTACTCATCCTTCTGAGATCTATTTGCTTAATCACGTAGCACTTGCCGTCCTCGTTGTTGCGAGCAAGGGCACAGGCACCCATGTTACCCTTACCAATTTGCCGCACCTTGGTGAACTTCTCCATTTCTCTTGACTACACGTCCTTCCCAGCCACACCCACACCTACACACACGCCGTGCAGGGAAGAAAAAACGACTCGACAAAAAAATAGGGTTCTAACGCAACAAGAACAAAGAAAAAAAAAAAAAAACTGAGGTGGCCACACCTCAGGTGTACTACAAATGATGCTTTTGTTGTTGTTGTTGTTGTTGTTTTCTTCTCTCTTGTTCTTGCTTTTTGTTTGTGTGTGTGTGTGTATGCGTTTTAGTTTGTTTTTTTGCCTTTTGTTCTGCGCGTTGGCGTGAGAAGAGAGAAGAAGCGGGGGCGGGGGGAGGGGTGAGGCACAAGACACGCGGCACCCACACTCCTCCTCCTCCTCTTCCTCCTCGTTGACTCGGCCCTATCCCTTTTGCACCCAACGCAAGCACGCGTACACTCCGGGACCCGCAGAAAAGTAAGTCACGGGAGTGGGGGCGAAAAAAGAAAAAAAAAAAAAAAAGGAGAACACACACGCACAGGTATGACGGGTGCACTCCTACCTAAATGCATGAAGAACAACAAGAAGAAAAAAGAAGAAAAAAAAAAAACAGGAAAAGAAGACACGAATACTTCAAAAAATAAATAAATAATAATAATAATAAACCAAATGAAAACAGTCCACACAAAAGATACACACGCATGCATGTACGTATATGTTGTATACGTCATGGATACGCGTAAATCACTTGTGGCGGGTATTACGTCCTCTCACATCCGTTCATACATTTCCTAAGAGAGAAGGCGAGCGGCCACATCCAATGCATGCATACTTGTGAGAAATGCATACACACCGGCACGTTCAACAACAACAAAAAAAAAAAAGAAAAAGAAGGAACGACGCAGAATGTCCCGCCACCAACGCAAGGTACATGACAATAATGATGATAATGATAAATAAGGACAATAAGAAAGTGCACCTCCTTGTTGTTGTTGTTGTTGTTGCTGTTTTGCCTCAAACGCACAACACGACAGCTCTCTCTCTCTCTCTCTCACACAAACACAAACACAAGGAAAGAGACACAAACAAACGACAACAAAAAAAAGAAAGAAAAACTACTCCCAAGATGTTGTTACCCCCTTTTTTTTCTGTTTCGTCTTGTCGTTCAGGCTCTTTAAAGCCCAAACGGAAAAAAAGAAAAAAAAACCTCCCAATTGGGAATTTTTTCATCCTCCCGTCTCGCCCCGCAAAAACATTTAGTTCAGCACCAACTGCATCAGGGCAATGAGCGAAAAGAGGGGAATCATCGCCATGCAGTGGGTGTGGAGAACCAACCAGAACGCAATGAAAATCCAGCCCGCAACATGAGCACAGTTGTGGCCGTTGTAGCCCAGCGTCGCGTAGCCGCAGCTCCAAAGCATCAGGCACACAGAGATGATACCAGACATGACACGGTTCACTACCGATACGGTCGACTGCTCGGCGGCTATCCAATGCCGCATAAATAACTTGCCTGGCACCACAGCAGAGACGGGACGATTATCTTGCAGGACTCTCAGCGATTCCTCCTCCTCTCTTGTCAATTTTCGCAAAAAACACCCCGAGAAGTCATGCTGCGTCTGCGCGTGATGGCCGTGACGCAGCGCGGCAGTCAGCGCCAGCGTTGGGCCTCGCACGGCAGCACGACTCACAGGGAAAACTCGACGAAGCATGTTGAATCTATCTTTCTGCTTGTTTGTTGTTGTTCTTGTGTTATCCTCTACTTCAGTAAGGGGCGGCTCCTTCTGCCTTTTGGTATTCGTTTCCACCTGTCGGAGCGGGAAGAGACAAAAAAGGGAGTAAAAAAAAGAAAACAAGCAACCGAGTTGAGCCCTCCCAAAAGTCATAACGCGGACCTTCACTTCGCCACGCTCCCCGCGGAAATGCCCCGCGCCAAATAAACACAAGAGAAGAAGCCCCCAATCGATGCCATCGGGAAGGAGGGAAATGTAAGAGGAGGAGGGGGAAGGGAAGGGAAGGGACTCAACCAAAGGGGAGGGCAGCGAGCACGCGTCCCCACAAATTCGTTGAATCCCAAAGCCCTCCAGCCCGTATCGGCGTTTCTGCCTGGACCCGCGACAGTACTCACATCGACTGATGATCAAATTTATAGGGGCATTATGGCACACAAAAAAATAATAATAATAATATAAAATACATGTAATAAATAAAGACAAGACACACTAAAAAATAATAATAATAATAATAATAATTTAGATAAATAAATAGGGTGACCATCCATGCGGTTTTTCATTCTTCACTTTCGTTTCTTTTACACCTATCCCTTCTTTGCTTCTCTTTCATTCCCTCCGCTCTGTCGCTGCATCGTCACGCTACGGCCCTCATGCCCTTTCTGGCAAACAGGTGTTTGATGAGGAGAACGTGCAAGAAGGAGAGGAGCAAAATAAACAACGTCTCAGCAGCACCTTGCAAGAGTAGGAGTGTTTTGCTCTCCTCAATAGTCTCGTGCAAATTTCGCTGGCGCAGGCGGAATATGATCTGGTCTTGATGAAGGCCCAACATGAAACTGTCTGTCCGCAGCATCATCCTTGTAAGAGGATCAATGCGGTCCTTCCATCGCTTCAGGGAAGTCACACCGATGCTCATCGTTACGGATTTCCTGCTGCCAGAGTACGGGCGGTTGTCAATGCAGTAGGAGTACTCGCCATGCAAATGTTTCGTGAAGTAGACGCGGTCCTCCAACTCATGTTCCCCCGCATACGACACGTAAATCGTCTTGTTCTTCGGGTCTCGGATGCTCACATCAAAATCATCGCCCCCATGCAGCACGTGGTAGTGCAGCATCGCACCTTCATTCGTGTCGATGCCCACGGAGTACATGCACAGCTCCTCCTGATTCACCTCAAGCGTAAGGTCTTGGGCAGTCGAGCGCACACGAACAGCCTGTGCCGTATCGAGCACAGTCAACACTATGACCACAGCCACCAACTGCAAGAACATACAAGACGATCGTGGGAAGCATGACATTGCCCCCTGGATGGGAATCATTCGCAAGAAGATATAATAAAACCCTCTCTGCCTGTAACGATTAAAATAAACTGAAAGGACTACACAACGACATGGAAAAGAAAAAAAAAAAAAAAGAGAAAAAAAATACATTTACATGTGAACGTTCATGTTACGTACAAAATGCCGCGGTGAGAAATTTATCCAACTTCAGTTCCCATGGATGGGCAAGGAAGAGAACTCCCTGAGATGACCACTCTCTAAATGCAGGCCCCCGTGGATCGCAAACACACACACACAGAGAGAGAGAGAGAGAGACAAAAATACACCCATTTTTTTAATCTATATACAAATCAAAATAGAAGCAAATAAAAGCAGAGAATGAGTACATCTTTTTTCAGTTACATCTACGCATCACTTGTAACGAATGAGATATTTATCAGCAACAAAGCGTGGGTGGGAAACATCCATAAGATATTCATCGCTCTGCACACTGACCGAAGACAAGGAAGCCTCTCGTCCCTCCGCAATGGCCATGCTCACCAACTTCATCTGACGCTCCAAATGTGTGCCGCCACAATCACTTTCTAGTGGTGTAGGTAACACTACTGACCACTTAATAGAACCATTCCACTCAACCGCCGAGATACAACGCTTCAGAGTGGAAATACGATTTATCTCATTGCGGAAAGCCGCCACAGGCACTGTGTGCGTCGGCATGACATTCCCCACCGTCAGTCGCACCTCATCACAGAGCGCAGAGACCTCTGGAAGAACCAATGCAAAAATATCTGTCAGCGACGCAAGCATCAAATCAATGTCTGTAACTGAAATAACACTGTCATCGAGCACACGCTCATTCAATACCCTCCTGCACTGCACAGCTATCTGCACCTCTGCAGGCACAAAAAGAAGGCTTGCACTGGCGAGAAATTCCTTAAACTCCATCGAGCCCTTTCCACCCCAATCAAAAAAGCGAAACAGATATTCAACATCACCTTTCCAGAGCGTCTTTTCATCAAAAATGCAACTTAGCAAAAAGAAAAGCTCCTGTGATGTCACCGTTCGCATTCCAACCCGACGTCCTGTCTCTTCCATATGCTGCAGCACCTTCTCTTGACCTATCTCTAGCAGCCGTGACACAATCGAATTATTTCGCAAAAGAAGCTCAGAAAGTATGCGGGGGGAAAGACTCAGCAACGCCCGCGGAGATCGCTGGGCCAGAGATGGCGTCGCGTCCATTGATTTTGGGGTAAAGCTTCTCTGCGGTAAGTCACCCGTGTCGGCATCTAAAATGGGGCTCTCCTGCCGCCCCTCGTTCGGGAAGACGGGGGTGGTACGAAGCTGGTACCCAAGAGAACTTTCAAAATTATTCAATTCTTTCGCAGTCTCCGCCGCCTCCATGAGAAGTCGCGTGGAATTCGCCATGAAGATTGGCACAATGTCTTTTTTTGAGTTCCGTGAAGCCTTTTTTGCCAATGCGCCGTCACAAGAAGAGGTACCGAAGTCCGCTGTATTTAATTGGCGCAAATTGCAAGAGTGTTGATGCTGCTGATCCTGTGGCTCGAGACGTCGGTACGGCGGTGGCGGTGGCTCGTGCATCACTGACCACACAGTGCGTTGAGAGCTCACAGAGTTCACGGGGAACATATTTGGCGTTGTTCGCATTCGCGGACCAGCGCCCCCCTAAAACCCGACGCACTCTGCGCACTCCTCAAAGAAGGTCGCCTTGGAAATCGCCACACACGCAACCACAGAGAGAATATGCGAGCTGGATGAAGTCCTGTCTCCTATTCCTGCAGAGAATAAAAAACCAAAAGAAGATGGTGACGGGTTGGTTCAGTGTGCACGGCATCCAGCATGCACAAAAAAAAAAAAAAAAAACTCACATTCAAACTCACATGGATAATAATAATAATAAATTCAACACCCACCATCTACGATAACGCGGTGCGTCGTAAACTCATGGATTGGCAGCCTTTTGTTTCCCGCAAACACCGGCTTCCCTCCCTCCGCGTGGAGGGCAATAGTGGGTGGGACGGCAGAAGGAACAGAAGGAACTGCACTCGCGCTGCCCTCCCAAACAACATCGTTGGAAACAAAAATGGATCAAGTCACAAGTGGCAAAAAAAACGAGGCAGGGATGAGTAAAACCCTCACCATCATCTACTGAGCCGCGTCTGGTCGCACATGCCTTCTAATATCAGCTGGGGAGAGAGAGAAAAAAAAAAATGGGGAACACTTTAATTGCTGCACCCAGGGATAAGAAAAAAGAAAAAAAAAAAAAAAAAGGCAACCGCATAAAAGGTGCGGGGTGAGTTGCAGCAAAAAAAAAAACACCAGAAAAAAGAAAACGTACGCAGCCGTCTGCTGTCTGGGCCAAAAACGCATGGAATGTATCGTGGTCATCCTAACATCCCTATTCCTCTGAACAAAGCAAATTATTTTTAATCCGTTAAGTTCAAATGTTGATCACTGAAATATCATTTATTCATTCTTGTTTTTGTTTCCTTTTTTCTCCCCTTCTATCTCTCTCCCTTCGCATTCCTCCCAAATACACAAAAACACACACAGACACACATGCACACTTTTTATCCTCCGAAAACCCAACGAAAAGAGAAATGTCTCAAACACGTACCTCTCACTTTGATCTTTTCGACAGTGTCTTCTCGGCCTGACGCAACGTCTGTGAAAGCTTTTTGCCCTCAGCACTAGAGAGCACCGCCTTCGACACCGCACACACCTCCAGCAATGGCTTCGTGACGGCCGCCTTGAGGTCTGCCGGGTGCAACGTGCCTGACTGCGCATCGTCACGAAGCCGTGCTTCGCTCGTGTACGCCACGTTACCTCCATTCTCCGCCGCCCTCTCTACTGTCAGCGTGCCACGCTCACGCAGGAGCCACGCGGCAATGGAAAGAACCGGGTTCGCTGCCTCGTTGGGTGCACAATAGGCTTTTTTAATCTTGCGTCGCGTATCCATGTCCGTGTCGTCAAGGAACAGGACGTCGTCAGCACCGGCAACGAGTGCCTCCGGGCGGTGGAGAGGCGGAACCGTCCCTTCCCTCGCAGGGATGGCCGTGACACGACCATCAAAGAACTTCTTCACAACCTCGTGGTAGCCACGCTCATGAGGCGCGGAGATAATGTGGGTTGCCTTCAACATGGCCACATCTGCCACGTACATGAGAGCCGCAACCAAGTCACCGGCAGCTTTAAATTCCCCGCAGACGTCCCCCAAGTACTGCAACATGTTGCGCCGACCCGCATTAATAGCTGCCACCCAGTAATCATTGGGATTGTCCAGAATAAGTTGGCTCTGGCGCACGACACGCACCCATTCCTTCCTCAAGTAAGTCGCCTGCAGGAGCGCAAGATTCAACTCGAGTGCAGCGCTGATATTCTTCTCTTCGCCCGTCACCTCGCCACACGAAAAGGCCGTCCACTCAGGAAGAAGAAGAACGACTTCTCCATCGGAGTGCTGCTCCAGAAATGCCTTGACTGCATCAGAAATGGCGACAGCAACATTTACAGACAATTTTATCACCGTTGGCAGCCAAACAACAGCCAGTGGCGTTTCCGACTGCTCAAACGGGCCTATATCTGTCAACGGCGGTGTCTGACCACCTTTCCGAAAGGACTTTACTTTTTCCAAAAGCCCGGCAGCGTGAGGATCACATGCAAAGTGATGACGCACCGGTTCCAGCAAGGCATTCAGTTCTAAAGCAAGCGCGTCCTTCAGTAGCTCCTCAGTAATGGTACCATCGACAAAGGCCTCTTCAAGTTCCTCGTACGTCTTGTACAATGTGCCGTTAATTGTGGTGCTTGCAGCTGGACGAGAGTAGATGACATGTTGGAAGTAATCCAATACCGGATTTTTTTCCTCGCTGGACACCGGAGCCCCATCCTCGGGAACCTCCGCCTTCTTTTGCCTTAACCGTGGGCAGTATGCATGACGAATCTTCCGCTCAACGTCCTCCCTCGTGTCTTCCATAAAAATAGCACTATCCGGATCACTCTTGCTCATCTTCGGCTGACCTTCCTTAAGACCGGAAAGCATGTGATGCGAAAGAATCACAGGCTTCAGTTTGCGTCCAATGAGGTCACAGTACTCTCGAGCCAACATATTCACCTTGCGCTGGTCCAGACCAAGTTGGCAAATATCTGCCTTGAGGAAAAAGATGTCTGCACACTGCATCAGTGGGTAAAGAATCTGTGCTGCGGTTAACGTGCCTTCTTGCTTGCCCATTATCGTACAGCATTTTTTGATGCGTGCAATGGTGTTTCGGCGGCCAATGTCAAGTACGGTTTTCCAGTACGAGTTTGCGTTTCGTGTGATCTCGTCGCTACTCCATAAAAAAATCACCTTCTCCATATTCATACCGGCGGCCTTCCATACCTCGATAAGGTACTGGCCAACTATGCGGATCTTTTCCAGTTCACCACACATTTTGTCATTCATCAGAGCAAACCAGTCGGCTACCCAAAAGACAAATTCACATCCACTTTGTGTGCATTTGTTGACATTGACGGCCTTGAAGACACCTTGTGCAATGTGCATGCGTCCGGAAGGTTCAAATCCATCATAGCAGCGGATGTTTGGCTTCTTTGTGATGAGGTTTAACAGTTCTTCTTCTTGTATGCACTCTTCACCGACAGAGCGTACCAGCGCGTATCGCTCCTCTGTCGTCATCTCAGTTGGTTTCTGGGCTGTCATGCTTAATGGCGTCAAAGAACGGTACCTCAAATTAAATGTCAAGGGGGAGAAAAACAAGGGATGTGGAAATCTGCAGTGGTGCCGCCAAAGTGGCTGGCAGAATATTGTCGACCGCCGCGTTTGCCCTCAAGACGGATAAAATAAATAAATAATTAAATAATTGTCACTTTCCTTCCGTGCTGCTACAAAGAGGGAGAGGTTCCGTCCATATTATAAAAAAAAAAAAAAAAAGAAATGCCATGTCAAAAACCCACGCCCACACGCCCGCACACACACACACACACACAGAGAGAGAGAGAGAGAGAGTAGAGCCACAAGTAACGCCGTTTTCGTATGAAAAAAAAAAAAGAAAAGAGGATTAAAAAAAAAAAAGCAGTAGAATGCTGACACAAGATATAAAAAATTCCACACACACACAAAAAAAAAAAAAAAAAGAAAACATACATACATAGCGGGGAGGGAATAATTCAAAATACACAGAAATAAAAGGCAATTCACCTCAACGCCGCTCAAACCTTGAAAAGACGCACAGACACGCACCCAATGAGACCCCCATATTTCTGGCCTTATCCATCATGTGTTCTTCGTCGGGTTGGAAACATTGAAAGCGTCGTTTCGCCAGGTAAGAAATAAAACACCCCCCGCATACTGACTTTCCCACTCGCGAACAGCAAAAGGCGGTGGAACCTCAAATTCCATCTGGAAATCACCCACTGGAAACGTGTCAACCAACACTTCGGTGGTGTCAGCCGTCGCACAGAGGTCTGTGAAAAGAACCGTCTCCGCCAAACCACCGCTCGACGTAACAGAAAGGCTTCCCAAAGTGTCGATTGTTCCGCTAAGAACAGAATCGGGACCATTGATGTGGTTATTCCATGCGCCCTTAACGACAATCTCTCGCGAGTCCTCCGAGCATTCCACAAATACTGTTGATATGCTAACACCCGGAAGTTGTAACATTATCGTAAAGCGTTGCTTCGGCAAATGTACAATTTTGGCCGGTGGCACATGAGTCCGCTCGTCCATCATGAGGCAATCAGTGGTCGCCCCACTTGTCATATGCGCCGTAGAATCCCGTCCCGCTAACGCGCTCACTAGCAAAGCATTGTATGACGTTGTCGTCAAAAAACGAATAAAAATTGAAAAGGCGGAGCCTGTCACCAGCGATGCTGTCTGTCGTGAGAAGTCCCCCACCACTTCCGTTTCCGGGCTGCCGCTGCAAAGAAGAGAGACTAACAGATCCTTCATTGTCTGCAGGAGTGATTGAACAAATTCCTCCAGTCGCTGCTGACGCCGTTGGGATGGAAAAAATCGAGACGGTGGAGCCGCAATGGTCCTCTCCAACTGCTGTCTCGCCAGTTGCAAAAGGTTGGCCTTCTCCATCGCCTTGTAAAGCTCTACAAACTCTGAAAAGCGCTTCAAGACACTCCACTGGTGGGTGGCAGAACGGACAAGCACTTCGTACCATGTCACCACCTTTTGCGTAACGTCTGGCGCGAGCCTAACGTGCGGGAGTGTAATGGAGACAATATCGATGGCGTTCGCAGGGAGGCTCGGCCCCGAGACGGGAGGCGGAATGTGAACGACATAACTGCAGGAGAATAGTGTGCCACTCCCCTCATTGCGCTCACCGAATTCGTCGTTCTCCCCTGGTACGGAGGCCCACTTCGACATACGTGGGGGAAAAAAGTCACCCCACCAAACTGCCCAGTTGTTATTTCCCCCCTCCCCCTTCTTCCCCAGTGCACCCCTCCACTCACCCTTTTAAATAACAAAATACAAAAAAAAAAAAAAGGAGGATGTTTCGTTATCGACAAAACAACGGGAGAACCCTCTCCTCCTCCTCCTCCTCCTCCTCCCTGAGCTTAATAAATGTACAAATCGGTGTGTCTTTAAATATATACGAATACCTACATATGCATGTCAACAGAAACGAACAAACGAAAAAAAAAAAAAAAGACGCGGAGAAACAGCTGCACGCATACAGCAACAACAACGGCCGACAACATATAAATATATAAAAAGAAAAAAAAGAGAAAAGCCAAAAAAAAAAAAGTAAAGAGCAAAATTGAGTGGCTGGAAAAATCTTTTAAAAAAAAGCACATGTACACAAACTGCGGGCAGGCCACATTACGCACAATTACAAATATATATATCAGAGAACAACAACAACAACAACAAGAAAAGGGAAAAAAAAAAAAAAATGAACGAGTAAAACTCTTGCAAAGTCTCAGACAAAATAAATTCGCACACTTTTATGCCCCTCACTTTTTTTTCCCCCCCTTTTTTTTTCGTTGTTGTTGTTGTTTCATTTCCTTCCATTCTCTTCACCGCATCCACCTACTCCTTAACGTTTATTTCTTTTTGTTCTGTTTTTTTCTTTTTTGCTTGTTTTCGTTATTTTTTGTTTTTTGTTTTTGTTTTGTTTTGTTTTTGATGCAGCGGTTTGGCATAATGACTACAAGCAAAAAAGAAAAAAGAAGAAAAAAAGAGAGAAAGAAGAAAAGAAAGAGAGAGATGAAAACAAGGGTACATCCAAAGGGACCAGAGGCAAAACCCCAAGAAGTCTCATCCTCCCCTACATCCCCGCAACAGATCAGCCAAAGCGAAAGAAAAATTGCTGACCGCCACCGTGACCAAATGGATTGCCATGAAATGTGAACGGATGGCCGTAGAACGGCTGCCCCCCGCCTTGTCCAGATGGCTTCGTTGGGTCCTCGCCACTGTCGTAAATCTCCCGCTTCTTTTCATCAAGCAGAATCTCCTTCGCCTCGTTAATGTCACGGAAACGTTCATCCGCCTTCTGTCGTTCCTTTGCAGAAAGTTCCTGCGAACGTAACTTGTCGGGATGTAATGTCTTTGCGAGATGACGGTAGGCCCGTCGGATCTCAGCATCGTTTGCTGTCTTTTTAACGCCTAGAATTTTGTAGTAGTCCTTCCTCCCCGCAACGCGCTTAAGATTTTCTATTCTCTGCCTATATTCATTCACACGCTCGTGATTCGGCTGGAGCCGACGGGCATTTTGCAGCTGCTCCTCGGCACTTTTTAGATCGTCCTGCATAAGATAAATATCCACCTTCTGCAGGTGCACATCAAAGGAGGCCGGGTTCTCCGCGCCTAGAAACTCAATGGCTTCCTCGCATACGGAAAGACCCTTCTCCGTGTCTCGCAATCCAACGGTCACCGTGCAGCGCCAAAGCAGAAGCTGATCCTTGTACGGCGGGTTTTCCTCCAGCTCTTCGGCCTCGTCAATCTGCTGCAAGGCGCGTTGGTAATCCTTCGCATCGAGCGCCTCCGTGATCGCCTTTGTGATCCGCATCTGCCCCCGCACAAGTTTGTGCAGCTGTGCACACGCCGCGTACTCCGGATCCAAAGAAAGACACATCCGCAACTCAGCCCGCGCTTGTTCTATTGCCCCCAATGCGCGGTACGCACGTGCAGCTAACGCCACCGCCTCCAAGTTTTGAGGTTCCTTCTGCACAACGTACTTCAGCTCCTCTGAGGCTGCCTGGTTATCACCACATGCTAGTGCACACTCAGCCCGTTGCAATCGCATTCCTACATTGTCCTTTGCAAACTTACGAATCATATCATGCAGCAGTGCGACGCATGTCTTGTATTCGCTTTCAGTGATATCGCCTGCTGAATGTTTGGGCGCCTCAAGTTTTTTCCGAAGTGGCAGCCACGCGGATGTGTAATGCTGCAGGTCTCGCAATTTCTCCTCATAATCCGCCACTTTGGAAGGTTTCTTCATTTCCTTGTAGAGAGGGAGAAGAACTTCAACATCTCGAATCGCCTCCTGCAGATGGCCTGCCTGGGCGTTGAGTGAGGAACGAAGAGCCAAACCGCGGTGGTGTTTTGTATCCAGTTGGAGCAGGCGGTCCAAATCTTGCATGCACTCCTCCCGTTGTCGCATCATAGACAATAACTCCGCACGACTGTACAACCCACGAACACTACTGGGGTTATGGGCGAGGGCCTCCGTGTACTTTGCCAATGCCTCCTGGTACTGGCTGCGGCCCTGTCGTAGCGCCGCATCACCAGCAAGCAGCAGCTGCTTTGTCACCTCGTCATCGTGTACACCTGTGCAGAGGACGTTACCAACGGCAAGAAGAGCTACCAGGAGTGCCGTAACGACAAGACTCCCTTTAAAATTCTTTATAAAACCAAACATGCCAACCAAAAACCAAATCCCTAGCAAAAAAAAAAAAAAAGTATATACCTAACTTTTCAGTAGTGAAGTATATTTATTTTAAAAAAAAAAAAAAAGGAGAAAAAAAAAAAGAAAAGAAAAAAGGACTATTTACTGTTTTTTCTCCCTCTTGCCACCGTGGCCACATACACAAACACACGTGTACACACAGATGAAAGGAAAACTGAAAATACCTCGAAATATTCATCCCAATCTGCTAGCCGGATCCTTAACTTATCCCATACAAATAAATAAATCAGAACGGAGAAAAAAAAAAAGAAGAAACAAAAAAAAAAAAAAAGAGGGATAAATGGAGAAGACAGTGGGTTCGCCACATCCTCAATGTTTTGCTCCAATCGTATATATTTTGGTAGCCACTCTCGTGGCACGTCGCAGAGTCTATTCGAGTTAGAGATATTTATCCCTTACAAAGTGGTAGAATTTAAGGTCCTTCCAAAGCCACAAAAACCCACCACAACGTCCGAATCAAAAAGGGTGGATGGCAAAAAATAAAAAAATATATAAATATATTCGCCTCGCCGTTATTGGTTCGTTGATTCCTTTCCATCGCAGTCAACCAAAAAAAAAAAAAAAACATAAGATGGAAAAGGCATCGTGTAGGAGAACATGTATATTCAAATCCGGATGCATTTTCATTTGAATAGCCCGCATTCTTGCAAACGTTCCTTTCACAAGTCCCCAATTAATAATAATAATAATAATGGTTAGGCAGCAGGTGGAATGCCGCCCTTGTACTTCATCGTCCCAAGGTCTAGCCCTGGGATGTAGAGCGAGGATGCAATTTGTTCCACCTCCAGCCGCAGTTGGCACGCCAATTCACTCGCCCTCATGGCATCCACAAAGTCCTTAATCTTTGGCCCCACCTGCTTTTGCAGCGACACACACAATTTGGCTGCAAGGTCAAGTAAATCCGCAACACGCTCCATGTCACTCTCGACCATCCCCCGTGTTGTCAGTGCACATGTGCCCAAACGCACGCCTCCTGGCGCCAACGCACTCTTGTCCCCCGGAATGGAATTTTTGTTCACGCTGATGGATACAAAATCAAGCAGCTTCTCCACTTTGTTTCCAGTCAGACCGAGTTCACGCACGTTCCAAAGTACAATATGATTGTCGACTTCTTCCGACACAAGGCGGTGACCACGTGCGATGAGCGCGGCTGCAAGCTTCTTTGCATTCTTCACAACCTGTTGCGCATATGTCGCCCACGCGGGATCGCAGACCTCCTTCATTTGCGTGGCAATGGCTGCGATCTGGTGCATGTGTGGTCCCCCCTGAAGACCTGGAAAAACGGCCTCATTTATACGTCTCTCAAAGTCTGTCGCCTCACCGTTGCGACCCTTCTTGCGATAAAATATCATTCCTGCACGGGGGCCACGCAGGGATTTGTGCGTCGTGGTCGAAACAACGTCGGCGTAAGGAAACGGGGACTTCAACACGCCCCCTGCTATCAGACCGGCTGTGTGTGCCATGTCCATAAAGAGGAAGCAGCCAAGGCTATCACAAAGAGCCCGCAGGCGCACGTATTCAAAGTCACGACAGTACGCAGAGGCACCCATGACAATCATCGCTGGTCGAAACACCTCACTGATTTTTTCCAGACTTTCGTAGTCAATCACACCATTGGCATCCACCTTGTACGGGAACGACTCAAAATACAACGAGGTGGCGCTAATTTTCTTCTTGGCGGTATAAAAGCCGTGAGTCAGGTGGCCACCGGAGGGGAGGTCGAGACCCATAATGCGGCTGTGTGGCTGTAAAAGTCCTGTGTAGACGGCAAAGTTGGCAGGAGATCCGCTATACGGCTGCACGTTGACGCCCCACTCCGTTTCATCCAATTTAAAGGCCTGAAGGGCACGTTTCTTGGCCAAGCTTTCAATCACGTCACAATACTCCGTGCCGCCGTAGTAGCGATTGCCGCACTCTCCCTCCGCGTACTTGTTTGTTAGACAAGACCCAAGACACTCCAAAACAGCACGCGATGTAAGATTCTCAGACGCGATAAGCTCCAGGCTGCGGTATTGACGTTCCTTCTCCTTCTCAATCACATCCGCAAGATCCGGATCGTGTTCAACGAGAGACTTTGACATTTCCCCAGTCCCCTGACGTTGGTGCACGTACGCTTGAACCGCTGGCGTTTCCTCTTTTATGCCCAACACACACACGCACGCACGTCCTCCCTTCTTCCCTCCCCACCCTTTTTTTTATTATTTTTGTTTTCCCTGCTTTCCTGCTTTCCTGCTTTATCAAAGCCCCAATATATAAATGTATGACAATTAACTGAAGATAACTTTTCCGCGGATATACACGCGCTCTCTATGACTGTGCTATAAAACAAAATGCTTCTGCAATCAACAGATGGATATAAATATATAAAAGGAAATGTGGCAATATCATCGAATACTTGAAACAACAGGGACTCAAAAACCAATACAACAACAACGACAAAAAAAAAAAGAAAACAGAGGCAGAAATAATGGGCACGTGCATCAAACAACATTCAAAACTCTCCTCGCGCACACGCACACAGACACGCCTCTACAATACCAAAGGACTTACGAATATTGCAACGGTTTTCTCAGGGCAAATGTCATATCAAGCGCAGCAGAGTGATTCACCCTCCGCCGGCCCAAGTGCCCCCACGTCAAACAACTGCGTGGAGAAAAAGCAGACGTCCCAGTTCGAGCCATGCCGCTGCTGCAGCATCTCCAAAGCTTTAAAGGCATTCGCGACGGTGTCAAAACGAACCAAAACACGGATCATCTCACGCGCCAAACGTGTCTCCACATCAGCGGAAGCAGCGGAAACTTCTTCCCTCTCATTTTCCAAACGGGCTCGCAGTGCCGCCCTCTTCCCATCGTCCAAGACCATGTAACGCAGCGAACGTACAACGCCACACTGCCCGCACAAATCCTGGATGTTCTCCAAAAATGCATTGCGCAGCGTCCCGCTGCCAACGTTTTTATTGCTGGTGTCATCAAACACTTCTACTGGCGGTCCGTCGCGGACGAAGCGGATGAGAATGGTCGAGCTTGGCTTCCCGTAGTGTGTCTTTCGCTTCTCAAGGGCGCCAACGTCCTCACGCACAACATACCCACCAGCGGCCAACTCCGACCTCTGAAAAACAAGAGGTGCAGTGATACCTGGAAGAGAAGTTGTTGTTGAAGTTGCCATCGTTGTTGCTGGTGTCATCTCCCCTGCCGAAGTGTTTATTCCATCCCCGACGTGGTCACTAGTAGTGTTCGTTTTGGTCGCGTTTTCTCTTGTAGCAGCCACACTCATTAATTTTCCAAGCTTCTGCCCAATGCGTCCTCTGCGGTCCATACCAGCAGCGACTCGTGCCTTATGGGCCGCCTCCAGTTCTTCACGCTCCAAATTCATCGCTGTGGTGATGCCCAACGCGGCGCTCTGTCGAACGCGTCTTTGGTGAAGCTCCTCCGCGCTGAGATGCAGCGACATCGTGTCCCCGCTCCCGCCAAGGATATCGTACGCCAATTCATCCCTTGGCGCCATGCGCATCATGTCCGGCATATCAAACGGCGATGATCCCGCCTCCGCTGCTGCCGCCAACGAACGTGAAATGTCGTTCTTCCGCTCATCCTCCCGGGCGCGCTTCCACCACATTACTTTGACGTCGCGGTAGTTGTTCGGTGCGGCGGGGTCGTACATGACCATTTCTCCAGAATGTGTGCAAGCCGCTGAATGATCCTATTGAATTGTGTTCCTGTTGTATCCTTCTCTCTCTCTCCTCTTCTTGCTGGGGCCGTTTGCTTACAAATGAAAAGAGAACACTCACGCACCAACTAACAAAATAAAGAAAACAAATAAAAAATATTTAAAAAAAGAAAAAAAAGTAAAGGGCAATCACAATGAGAGAAAACTAAAGGCGCGCCTCCATGGCGATGTCGGCCACCATATAGCTGGTGCCTGTTTGTTTGTTTGTCTTCATTTGATAGCCTTCGTTGCACTCCCCAAGCACACATCACCCACGACTCATCGCCTCCCGCATTCTCTTTGTTTCGACCTCATATTCAAGCAAAACTTCCATTCCTTTTTTCTTCCCACATTTGTTTGAATGTCGGCATATTCCAAGGGCTTCCACAGTTTGATATTTGAGTCGCACACATTATTTTACTTTCGTTGGTTTGTTGCTGCCGCAGCGGTGTGGGTCCTATTCTCCATCCCCCCTCCCCACCCCACCCACTCCATGTGTCCATATGACATGCACGCATGCACACAGCCAGAGGAAGGAACGGGTGCCGCGCGCAAACTGCAGACGTATCCACATTTGCCGATAAGTAGACAGAGGCACCCGTTTGCACGGCAGCAGCAAAAGATAATAATAATAATAATAAATTATTTAATTGAAAATAAAAAAACGGTGGCAACAGCTGATAATCAACTAAAAAAGTAAAGAAATGAAAACAGATAGAAGGCATATGTGTGCGTGTGCGTATATATATATATATATATATATATATATATATATATATAGGGGAGATGGAACAAGAGACAAAAAAGTCTAAAATGATATGAACAGGAAAAAAGAAAAAAAAAAAAAAAAGAGAGAGAAAGAAAGAAAGGGGGGTAAAAGACTGTAAAAGCCCAAGCAAAGGAATTATGATGATGATAATAATAATAATATGAATTACTCCAATTGGAGTGTATGGGGTCCAAACATGATGCATGCATGTAAACCGCTGTGTGCCTGCATATACACAAGCGAAATAGAAGAAAGCAACTGTCTGTGTTTGTTTTTATATAAATATAAATAGAGAGATAGAGATAGAGAGAGATGTATAGATGTATGTTTGTTTCGTTCTTTCTTTCCTTGACTCACTTTATTAAATATTAAATATTAATTTTGTTGTTGTTGTTGTTGTTGTTGTGATTTCTCAAATACACACATGAAGGCAAAGCAACATATAAAACCCACGTTTCCCCACACACACACACACACACCAAAAAAAAAAAAAGAGAGAAGGAGAGAGTTAGGGGTGAAAGGAATTAATGCACAGAAATACACACGCACACGTACAAAAAAAAAAAAAAGGAATTTAAAAAAAAGAAAAAGAAGTACAGGACAAAAAGTTTTTAACTTTTTATTTTTTGTTTTGTTTTCTCATACACACTCAAACACTCACAGTCCCACAGTCCCGCAGTCCCACAGTCCCGCAGTCCCGCAGTCCCACAGTCCCGCAGTCCCGCAGTCCCACAGCCCCGCAGTCCCGCAGTCCCGCAGTCCCGCAGTCCCACAGTCCCGCAGTCCCACAGTCCCGCAGTCCCACAGTCCCGCAGTCCCGCAGTCCCACAGCCCCGCAGTCCCGCAGTCCCGCAGTCCCACAGTCCCGCAGTCCCACAGTCCCGCAGTCCCACAGTCCCGCAGTCCCGCAGTCCCACAGTCCCGCAGTCCCGCAGTCCCGCAGTCCCGCAGTCCCACAGTCCCGCAGTCCCGCAGTCCCGCAGTCCCACAGTCCCGCAGTCCCACAGTCCCGCAGTCCCACAGTCCCGCAGTCCCGCAGTCCCGCAGTCCCACAGTCCCGCAGTCCCGCAGTCCCGCAGTCCCGCAGTCCCGCAGTCCCACAGCCCCGCAGTCCCGCAGTCCCACAGTCCCGCAGTCCCACAGTCCCGCAGTCCCGCAGTCCCGCAGTCCCGCAGTCCCGCAGTCCCACAGTCCCGCAGTCCCGCAGTCCCGCAGTCCCACAGTCCCGCAGTCCCACAGTCCCACAGTCCCACAGTCCCGCAGTCCCGCAGTCCCACAGTCCCACAGTCCCGCAGTCCCGCAGTCCCGCAGTCCCACAGTCCCGCAGTCCCGCAGTCCCGCAGTCCCACAGTCCCGCAGTCCCGCAGTCCCACAGTCCCGCAGTCCCGCAGTCCCACAGTCCCGCAGTCCCACAGTCCCGCAGTCCCACAGTCCCGCAGTCCCGCAGTCCCGCAGTCCCACAGTCCCGCAGTCCCGCAGTCCCACAGTCCCGCAGTCCCACAGTCCCGCAGTCCCGCAGTCCCACAGTCCCACAGTCCCGCAGTCCCGCAGTCCCACAGTCCCGCAGTCCCACAGTCCCGCAGTCCCACAGTCCCGCAGTCCCGCAGTCCCGCAGTCCCACAGTCCCGCAGTCCCGCAGTCCCGCAGTCCCGCAGTCCCGCAGTCCCACAGCCCCGCAGTCCCACAGTCCCACAGTCCCGCAGTCCCACAGTCCCACAGTCCCACAGTCCCACAGTCCCGCAGTCCCGCAGTCCCACAGTCCCGCAGTCCCACAGTCCCGCAGTCCCGCAGTCCCACAGTCCCACAGTCCCGCAGTCCCGCAGTCCCGCAGTCCCTCGTTATATCCACAAAAAAAAAAAACTAACGACTGTGGCGATTTGGGTTGGCGGGAGAAAAACAAAAACAAAGGGAGAGAACACCACACATTGGCACCTTTGCGATAAATTCATACAAATAAAAAAAAAACGAAAAAAGGGAAAAAAGACAAAACACGAAAGACCATAATAATATAAAAAAAAAAAACAGAAAACCGGCCATACATAAGCATGCACGGCTATTTTTGTATAAATATACATATATAAATGTATATATATATATGTATAAAATACACACACACAGAGAGAGAGAGAGATGTATGCATGTATTTATATATAAATAAATATATAAATATAAAAATAAATGCGGTGTGTGCAATTGTGCAAAATGCACACACAAAAAGACAAGAAGCCCCGTGGAATTCTCCAGTAAAGCAACGCAAATAAAAGAAAAACACGTAAAAACTAAAAGAACCAAAAAAAAAAAGAAAAATGAGAGCTCATAGAAGGCAAAAGGGCGCACATCGCCAAAAAAAAAAAAAAAGAAAAAAAAAAAAAAGACAATATAAAAAAGAAAAGAGAAAAGAGAAGGGGGTAAAGTGTCACTAAAATAAAATGAAAAAAAAAAAAAGCAAATAAACAAACAAAAAAAGAAAAAAAAATCTCAAGCAAAATTAACAAATTTAATTTTAAAAAAGAAAAACTGTCCTGCTCTCTTTTTGTATCGGAGGAAAAAGATAGAGACTGTTCCGCGTGGTTGTGTAGTCCATTTCCGGTCTTCCCACCATAACTTTCAAAAAAGAAAAAAAAAAGAAAGAAAGACCCACACATTATAGCGACGGAACCTCGCTCTTGCATGTAAACATGCATCCACTTTCAATAACCCCCTCTTTTTTTTTCTTTTTCCCCTATTTTCTTTTTAACTTTTCCTTACCACCACCACCACCCATAAAAATACACATACATACGTATATATTCTTTTCCTTCACTGCCTTATTGAACAAATCCAGTTCAGGCCCTCTTTCTGGGCCTGTCGCCAGCACCATTTTTTGTTTGTTTGTTTGTTTTTTTTTGCTTTTATGGCACTGTCGTTCCTACTACTCCTTTTATTGCACGTTCGTACTAGCATGCTTCTGACTTCGCGACAAGGTGGAACCGCTATTTGCAGCACCAACTAAGTTGTCCTTCTCCAGAGTTTGGTCCTGTCGTAAATGAGACAACGAACCGCCCTCTTCAGTGCCTTCTTCGCCACATCTTCCGCATGGGAATGCTCCATTGCTGGAACGACTACTACAGTGCGTGGAACCCTTAACCTCCGGTGTGTGCACAATCCATGGATCATCCAGTAACTCTTTTGCCGTCGCCCGCTTTAAGGGGTCTCGTTGCAAACATCTTCGCAAAAAGGACTTAGCCCCGGAAGAAAGTCTGTGCCCTTTTGGAATCATTTCTGGAAACAACTCTCCCTCGGTCTCTGCCACACGCATCATCATGGAGTACTGATTCTTGACCCCCGAAAATGGAGGACTCCCCGTCAACATCTCAATCACGCAGCAACCAACAGACCACACATCGCTCGGCAACCCAACGCCCTGAGAGAGAATTACCTCCGGTGCCATAAAATACGCCGTGCCCGCCAGTGCCGTCGAGGCAGTGGGATCCAAAAGGTCCTTCGCGGTACCGAAATCTGATATTTTTAGTGTGCCGTTTGGATCCACGAGAAGATTGTCTCCCTTTAAATCACGGTGCATAATGTTCTTGCTGTGTAAATATTCCAGTCCTTCCAACATCTGTCTTGTATAGATAGAAGCCTGTTTCTCATGAAAAGGACCAAATGTGCGAAGTACACTGCTAATACTTCCACCAGAAACATACTCCATGTAGATACGAAGACAACTCTCTTCGCATTCCTCACCGAGGCACTTCACAATGTGTGGATGATCAAGAAGTTTTAGTAGTGCAAGTTCCTTTCGCACTGCCTTCAACGCTTTGCTCTCTGAACCTTCTGAAAACGAAATCTCCTTTACAGCTATAATGTGATTCGTGTCACGATCCATTGCTTGGAAAACAACACCAAAACTGCCCTTTCCTATTAATGCCTTGTGCGCCAGGCTAACATGCATGGGGCCTTTTCCCTCGGAATCCTGTGAGCGTGTGACGCTGTTGTGCGTAACACACGGTACACTTCCAGTACGTCGCCGTAAAACGGATTTTTTGCCAGAACCATTCACTTCCCTGCCACGTTCCTTCTTTGAGAGGGACTTGCGCCGCTTCTCCGGCGATGAGGTGTAGAACTTAGTGACTGATGAGGTGGGAAGAGGTTCGACTTCCAGTGGCGCGGAGACCGTGGACCCAGGACACGCGTCAGAGGTGCGTGAGCCATTCAACGAACTGTTGGATTCCCTGGCCTCCACCACAACATTATCATCCTCCACACCAAAGTCATTATTGCTGCCAAAAAAGGGGCGAGATTGTTTCCGTCGACGAACGCTCGCTGAAGAAACACTAAAGTCTAATAGCAGCGGGGGATCTGCTGTCAAAACCTCCAGCCCACCGCTGTGCGTGGAACGAATCGTGCTACTAAGTTGCGGGCTATTAAAGCTGTGCGACACCAAAAAAACGTTATTACAGCTTGAGCGAATACAGTCTTCATTTGTTCCCGTGTGGGCATCACGGTGTAGTCTTAAAGAAGTCCCAATGACACGCTTTTCAAAGCTCAATTTCGGCGTGCTGCTGTTGGCAGTCTGGAACATGACCAGGCAGTCTCCCACTCCACACACACACACACACACACACAAAAGCACCAACGTCCTTTTTCCTTTTGCTGTTATTTGCCTTTCCTGTTCCCGCTGTCGTTCTGTTATTTCCTTTTCCTTTTCTTGGATGTCTGCCAGCGGTTCCGCTCGCACAGACCTTCTTAATAAAAGAACTTGCCTTTTCGCCTAGTATAGCTACAAATTTATATCGATTCCCTATACTCAATTTTCTGTATGCAGTGATTTCCCCCTCGCACCTGCCCACGTGTATGTCCTCTTTTCTTGTGGCGGTGGCGGTTCGCCCGCGCTCTCCGCGTGCCTTCACACACACACACAGACACACGGCAGAGACTTATGGACTCCCTCACGGTCAATTTATATATAACAATGTACAAATAATATATATATATATATATATGTGCTTTCACCTGCGCGTATGTTTCGTTGAATTCCCGCCAATCACCTCGGGTGTAAAACGCCACACTTCACGCTGTGTTCGACCTCGCCTCGTCCCGCTTTTTCAATGACGGCAGCAAGTTTCTTCTTGCGGGGCGAGAATAAAAGAAAGGAGGCGCACAGACACGCGGAGGTCCTTCCCGGCACACACACACAAACAAAAACACGTGCGCGAGGACGTGTGGTGCACAACTGCGGATGAGTCAAAAGCACTGCAAAGTCCGGGGGGCACGCCGCGGACACCAAACGCCAGCAAAAAAAAAAAAAAAAAAAACCTACGAGTCAAATATATACACACAAAAAAAAAATCCAAGGAAAACCACGCGGGAAAGGAAGAAGAAGAAAGGAAAATGCCACGTTTGCTCCCCCGGACATATTTATCCCCAGCACACATGCACACAGGGACCCAAATAGGGAAGCGCACACGACACATAAAGCAAAAAAAAAAAAAGAAGGCGAACCCAACAAACCCTAAAACACCACCCACCCAAAGAAGCAAAATATATATATAACTCTCTCCTCCACCCACCCTCACCTGAGAAAAAAAAATAAAAAAATAAAAATAAGCACCACACCCAAAAGGGGCAAACATTAACAAAAAAAAAAAGTGGTCTGTTTCTATCACAGTTGTGACAAGAAGAAAATATATATATATATATATTGGAACGCAAACGCAAAAGCAAAAAACACTAAAATGAAAAGACATCGGCAAAGACGTCATCTGCCTTCCCTTCACCCCATGCATCCTTTGAAACGAGAATGGATGGACGGGGCTTCCCTGCCTCGAGACGGTTTTTACTTTTTGGAGTATTTGTTCCCGCAGCATCCCCTGTGCGTGCAAACGCGGAGCTTAGTGCGCTGCTGAGAGCGCACAAAGCATTGCCGCTACCAGGTGGCCGTGGGAGGGGAGAATTGTAATGAACACGCCGCGCTGCCGCATCCGTCAGGCATTTTTTTGAGCCGTCTTTCTTCCTGCCACTTCCACCGCCAGCGAGAACATTCGTTGGGAGCGGCTGCAGCGGGGCACGACGTGCGGTGGACTTCAGCGCGCTGAGTGGCACACGAGTGCCAAGAGTCAAGAACTCGCCCAGCGAATTCAAGGAAGAATCCGACGCCGCATCGTTCGCCTCATCTTCTTGTTGTTGTGTGGAGGCCGGGTACGTCCGACGAGCGACAGTGGCAGCCGATAAAACGGCGTGGCTGCGTGGACGCTTCTTATCCGTGTGCGGCACAGCATTGGCAGCACGGCTTCGTCGTGTATTCGTCGTTTTCTTTGGAGTGATCTGACTAAGAGAGTGCAGACACATGTCATCCGTATCCTTCGTCACTGCAGTCCTCCGCTGTAGTATTTTTGGTGGTGATTTTGGCAAAGACGCGGCTGCCACAGCTGCTTTCATTTCCATCTCCTCCTTCCTCGCTTTTTCATTCGTGCATGTCATTAAAAACGACTGCGTTGCCTGCTCATGAATCCCACGTCGTTCGTCCATCTCATTTCCCTCAACAGTTCCCCGAACGAGTGACTCCTCTGCCACAAACCCCTCGCGCGCTTCTTGTTGCAAGGACCGAAACCGCCGGGCCAACACGAATGCCTCATGTGCTGCTCTTGCAGACACGAGAGCTGCTTCTCTTTCAGCCCGTTCGCGGTGCATTTGAAAAAGACGTGCACGCTGCCTCCGGAAAAACACCTGAAGGGCCAAGTGCATAAGCTGGAGAAATTCCATGCGGTGCTCCACGGTGATCGCCGTCCCGCGCATCGTCTCCTGCCTGTCGCGTAACAATATTGTCTCATGCAGCGCCCGCTCACGCTGCAGCACGACACACTCTCTCTGCGCGTTCAGATCCGCCAAACGTTTCTTCAAGACATCTGTCAGAATGCGGGTTCGCGTCTCCACAGCGGTTATCTTGTCCCGCCCCAAGGTGCAGAGAAGTTCTTTGAACTTTGAAACAACCGCCATCTGATCCCGCCTGTCGCAGCACGCATCGGCAATGGATAATGCCGCCTGTAACGCCATTCTGTACACGGCGTTCAGTCCCTCTTCCGCAGAGGAGCGTAGATGTGCCCCTTGCAACGCCACTTCAAGTGTCAACAGCTGGCGTCCCTTTTCCTGGGAATCCCGCCATGCCCGCATGGCGTCAGTCTGTGCGACATTGTTGCGCCCCCGCAGATCCTCCTGCAAATTTTCCTGCTTCTTGTGACTCTCCCGCAGCGCAGCCTCCAGCCGCCCCGCTTCGGACTCGAGACGGTCCAACCGCTCTTGTAGGAGACTTTTCGCGACGTCAACGCGTTGTACCACTTCCACGAGGGCCCGTACACGATTCAATGCTGTGACAACATCTGCCAATTGACGACAAAAAGCGCTACGCTCTTGTAGCGCTCGAAGAAGAAAGGCCGCACGTGCTGGGCATCCTGTCCATGCGGTGGCATAGCTCTCCAACGCCTCTTGCAGGCGCATGGACTTTTTCTGTTCCTCGCCCATAAACGCTGCAAGTGCGCTGAATTTCACTGAGCCCTGTTGTAACTGGTGCTGCAGCCGCGTACTCTCCTCCTGTAATTCTCCCAAATCCTTTCGACGGCGCTCCACATCTGTGATAATTTCCTTCAAGCCAAAAAAAAGAGATCGCTTCGCACGCTCCATTTCCATCAGTCGGGATTCCAGTCGTTCATAGTTGCTGGCCTGCACCACCTTCTGCTGCAGCAACGCATCCGTGCAGTTTTCCAATGTCGACATGAGTCAACCGTTCTGATTCCACACTTATCGCCCTTCTTTCTGTTCTTCCGCATTTACGTCAAAGAACCGCAAAAAAGAAAAAAAAAGGGTTGAAGCTCTCTCTCAGCCGCAAGAGAAATTAATTCCTCTGCTCCCCCGTTTTTATTCCGTTCATTTACGAGAGGCTTCTCGCTTCACCAACGGCAGCAGGCAGCCAGCAGAAAAAAAAAAAACATAAATAAATTAAAAAAGAGTCCATATTACACATCAAAGACTACGCGTAATTCATCGCAGTGCAGAACCCCTCACCGTTCGGTCACAGCAATGTACTGCTCACGCAGCTGCTGCAACACCACCTCCTCATTCTCAAAAATCAGAGGAAAATTTTTGATAAGGCGTGCCAACTCTTTTTCCGCGGGTGGCACGTCGTGGCACTCGTCACTGTCACTGTCACTGTCACAAGCTGCGACAACACGGTGATTCAGCTTAAACAACGGCCGTCCCTCCAGAGCACCTTCCTCCTCGTCGTCGTCACCCTTTTTTTTATTCAGCAGATCTCCCAAAAAATTCACAATGCGATTTTGGCTGAAGAATGGAAGCGCAACAAGAATCGGACCGAGCAAAGGTCCTACTTGCTGCAAGTACGTGAATGGGCGATGCTCTGATGCCTTAAGTAACGACATCTGCACTACCACGAAGCATCGCAAAGCACGCCAGACACGTAAAAGAAAGGAGGTGCTACCACTGACACCTTCGGCTCGCAACGCTGTACCTACGCTGGGTGGCGGCGGCGGCGACAACGGTCGGCGTTTACGCATGCGCAACCTTGAAAAATAAGAATCGTGAAATATGTTTCGGTTGATTAAATCGGCCGGTGGTGTCTCACCGTCCAGGTACGTCTGCTGCAGCACGTTTAGTGCGTTAAGAAAGGAATTTCCCTCCACCGCAACGCGTTGAACAAAGGCTGAGCGAAAATTGTCCTTGCCGCTCTGGAACTGTCGCGCGGCAGATTGTATGGTGTCCATGTCAATATCCGCATTCACGACGAGCGGGTCGAGATGTCCCAACTCCTTTGCAATTTTGTGTGTTTCTAGCGCGGCACAGCAGGAGAAAACAAATGTTCCTGGTTTCAATAATCTCGTCATTGCGGCTCCTGGTGCGCCGTTTGCGTAATCGTCATCCTCTATGGTGCGCCATTTGTCCACAACGTCTCGCAGTGTCCGTTTCTTGGATCGGCATAATCGCTTCTTCTCACAAGAAATGTCTTCTTGCTTCTCGGAATTGTTCCCCGCCTTTGCCGTAGACCCCGCTGTGTTTTGGGTGTGGCGCGGACAGTACGTGGTTGCAAAGTCATTAAATTGTGTCTGCTGACACGCCACAATCAAAACATGGCATTCCAGCAGAGCCTGGCGTCCATCGCGACGCTCAGTACACTGCACTCCACGACCCGCAAATTGCGCGACGGTCTCGGTCTGCCGTGTGATGATGGTGATTCGAGACGGGTGAATAAGATACGACGCCTGCAGTAAACGCTCCACAACAGCCCGCCCAACTCTGCCACCACCAACCACAACAACGCGAAATTCGAGTGGTGAAAGCATCAATTGTTCGTGAAAGAATGTCCCAAGACCGGCTGAAGAGCATGGCGTGTCGTAATTGTTGGTACGGTGGTTGCTGCTGGTATTGTCAGTTTTGGTGTTGCTTCCACAACGGCCACTACTAATACAACCCCTGCGGCTACTAGCGCTAGGACTATTCGAGCGGAAAGCAACAAAAGACGGTGTATGCCCTCTGCTACGAGATGCAGCTCTCCTACGAAAAAGAGGCCGTGGAGAAGGTGGGGCACGCAATGCTGCATAGCGGGCACGAGCCTCTGTCACAAGCCGCATAATATGCCAAAAAGAGGAACCACCCTCATTCAAGAGGGCCTGACACGACGAGGCCGCGTGGCACAGATACAAACACTGCTGGGCGATAATGGAGACTACAAAAGGTGCGGCGCAGACGGAAAGATCCAAAGAAGGATCGACACACGTGAGTCCCACAACGCCGTCAAGCAGATGCTGCGTTTTTTCCTGCATTACACAGAATACCTCTCCCCCTTCCCCCTTTTTTCTCTCTTTATCCTTCTCTCTTTCTCTCTGCAACCTTCAGAAAGCAGAAGTTGTGAATAAGACACAACACGCTATAGCCACACCAAAAACAAAAAAAAGAAATAATAATCCGTTCCCCCTTTCGTTTTGTAGTTTAGGCCCACTTCCTCTTTTCTGTGAGGGTAACTTTGGCCTTTGTTGTTGTTGTTCTTTCCGGAGAGCCTCCTTGCAGCCCACCGAAGACGCAAGCAGCCGGCAAAAAAAATAAATAAATAAATAATAAAGGAAAGAGAGAAAAAAGAAGGCAATTGCACAGCGAGACCACGTGTATGCTTTACGGTTCCTGCAGAGTCGTCCTCGCCACACATGAAAGAAAAAGGAAAAAAAGCGAAAAAAAAAAATCCGAAAAAAAGCACATAAAAACAATAAAAGCAAAACAATTGAATCGGTAGAGGTCGAAGAGATCTTCGTGGGACCATTCACTTTATTCGGTTTTCCGTCGCTGCCGCTGTTTGCTCTTGCCACAGCCCTCCGGAGAGATGTATTGCTGGTGGCGCTTCAACTCCGCTAAAGCTTGCTGCGCTTCCTCATTTCATGTTCCCTCTCCTTAGCCCCGGCATGGGCCTACTTTGCAGCGTACGTCAGGTGGCACTTGCCGCAGTACTTGCGATCCTTGTGCTGAGCCATGAAGACTCCAGCTCCACAGACCGGATTGGGGCACTCGTCCCGGGTGCGCTCCACCCTGAAGGAGCCGTCGTCGTTTTCCGTCACCTTGAAGTACTTGAGAGCCCGCATCTTCTCCAGCTTATGGCGGTGGATCGGCTTCTTAGGCTTCGTGAAGACCTTCTTCTTCTTCTTTTTCCCCTTACCGCCCTCAACGGGAAGCATCACCTGGATGGTGCTCTCGCGCTGCAGGCCGTAATCGGCAAGGGTGGCCTCGTCGCAGAGGCACTGGCCGCCGTAGAAGAGAGTGCCATCGCAGACACCGGCCTTTAACCTGAGGCTGGCGACAGTCTCCTGCGCCGAGGCCTGAATGGCGCTGGTCTTGCCGGCCGCCGACTTGACAAAAATCTGCATCCTTCCTTCTGTGCCTCTTCTTTTTGAGTTCTTTACGTGCCCCTCCTCGTCCCTCACCCCCTCTTTATTTGGCAACGCAGAGTGGTAGCAGGCAAAGATAACGCAGGGAAGAAGTGCTACAAGAAAGAGACATCAGGCTACAAACGGTAACACATGGCAGTCAATCAACATAAATTCAAAACACACACACAATAATAATAATAATAATAATAATAATAATAATAAATTTTTAAATAAAACGCAATAATAAAAAAACTCAAGAGCTAAATAATGGCTTCCCTACACACACACACACACAGAGAGAGAGAGAGAGAGAGAAAAGAAGGAAAAAAGACAAAGATGAAATGAAAGGGCAGTGAGGCTTATTAAGGCAGCGGGTGAGGTGAGGGAGGGAAGAGGGCAAAATGGCACGGAGAGCTACCATGATGATGATGATAGCAATAATAATAAATAATAATAAATAATAAGCAAGGCGCAAGGCGTCCCGTGTGTACACAAACGCACACGCCATACAAATATGTATATATAATAACAAAGCAAAGGGAATATAGAGGTCCCATCCAAAGCTCCGCAGATGTTGTCCCTTTTTTTCTTTTTTCTTCTTCTTCCTTCTTGTTCATTCTTCATCATCCTCACATCATTCCACTCTTTGTTTGATAATTCGCTTCTATTGTATTGTCTTCCCCCACTCACCCCTACAAACATCCACACGCACCTCAATCGCCTCTTCTATGATGACAAAATCAAAAGATACATGTGGCTCACTCCTGTTATCCATCTATTGATTTTACTGCGGATACAAGTAGCCTACATCTCTTCCTTCTCCCCTCTCATAAGGAACATAAGAAACCACAAGCCGCCTTCATTTTCCTCACGCTTCTCACACACACACACACGCTCTTTCTCCTTTTTTTTTTTATTTTGTTTTTCTAATTCCTTTCTTCTCGCCGTTGTGTGTTTACTAGACTCTTTTTAAAGTGCGCATATGCACACTTATATTTATACATGTGTATTTATATGCGTTCGTTTTATCATTATTATTATTCATTTTTTCTTTGGTCGCGCGGCTCAAAACATGGGTGCCCCTGGCGGTAGCTGCGGCGGGTTGGAAACTGTCGGCAGTGTTGTCGGCGGGTGTGCAGGAAAGGTCGGCACGGATGAATTCAGTGCGACGGATCCGTCTGGTGTCACCGGCGGTGGGGCCTGACTGCGGGAAGCATTCACAGTTGGTGGCTCCGTAAACTGAGGAGGATGCGGGGCCGGGGAAGGCTCCACCGTGCGGTCGCCACCGTTGAGACTTGCAACAGCAGCTGCATTTCCAAGAGAGGCAGAAATGATGGCGGCTTCCTCTGCTGCGATCAACGCCGCAAGGCACTCCGATGCCGCCTCCCGGATGACCACCTTACGCCCCTCAAGATCACTAAATTGTCGTTCCAGCTCCAAACGCAGTGCCTTTGTGGTGAGATGACTCCTCTCCGCGCGTGACGTGGCGAGAACCCGCTTGTACACGGCGACACGAATGGTGTCATCACTCGGGGGCTGCACCGCAGACGAACTCTCCGCAACGGGTACCTCGTTCTTCATTCGCCTCAGTGATTCCTTCACTTTCTCAGCCCCCGTGCTTGCCGGGTCCACTTCTCTTTTTGGTGTTTTCGCAGCCCCACCACTTTCACTCACTGTCGTTGCTCGCTCCCGTTTTACGGCCTTCTTTTGGGGCTGAGGCGTTTTGCCGGAAGAACTCACCCTTGTCCCGGCGACATGAGGTTGCATAAGAAACGCCGCTACGCCATCCGCCATCCGCGCATGTGTAATGGTGAATTGAACAGGCATGCCAAGCGCCTGGATAAGTTCCCGCAGCTTATCTTTCCTCAGTTTTTGCACGCTTTGCAATACAACTTCACCCATCGCCTCTGGAAAGCCACAAAATGACTCCAACGCACGGCGTCGCTCGCCAGTTCTTCCTGGACGACCAAACACCATTCGGTGCAACGGCTCCAACCGTGTTTCTAATTGCTTCCATGCTGCACCACGGTTCCCCACCGCCCGCACTGCCGGCAGTTCAGCAAGCGGTGTTCCCGTTCCCTCCGAAAAATTAAATTTGGCTGGAGTGACGTCATCTCCCGCATCCGACGACGCGGCGTCACGGCGCTCCCTCGACATGTTTACCTCCAGAGGGATTTATGCAGACGGCTTTGCACCCCCTCTTCCTTCTTTTCTCCCACTCAATGAATTGGCAGGGAAACACACATACGTTTGTGTGTGGAGGTATGAGAAAAAGAGAAGAAAAAAGAAAAAGAACAGTAAATTTTGTCACAAACACAAACGCAAAAAAAAAAAAAAAGAAAGAGGGTGAAAAACGACATGAACTCTCGCCTCCCGCTCATGTCGTCCGTTCCGCAAAGCAGCTAGTCAGTTACATGTGTCTCTCTGTGTCTGTGTGTGTGTGTGTGTTTGTCTGTAAAGTGACTGCTTAGAAGGTCATTGTTGGAAGCAGACGCCGGAGGGTGCGGAACGGAGGGCTTCGCTGGCAAATCGCCGCCCCAAACGCCTCCTCACTTTCCAGAATCTGCAGCACCTCTGAAAGCCGCTGTGCCAAAGTGCCGCTGCCGTTCTCATCGACGCCCGACTCAACATGTGCCGCATCGTGCCTCAAAAACGCATCCGCCGGAAGAAAAATGTCGCCGACCCGTTTTAAGACGCCCGTCGTGATCCCGCCCCTCTCCACGTCATTCTGTTTATCCCCCACCAGCAGCTGCTCCACGACGGGCCGCAAAGACTGCTCCAGCACAATTGACATGACCTCCTGCCGCGGTAACAAATGCACCAGACCATTGGAAAGTCTACAAATTGCGGTTACCCGTGTCGCCAAAAAACTGTACGTTACGACACGCTGCCGTCCACCGCCGCCCCCACCAGACGACGTCATATACATGGAAAGAATGTACTGTATTTCCTCCACAAAACCGTCAATAATGTCTTGCAAAACACCCGCCAGGCTTTGCGTGAGAATCTCCTCCACCTCCCGTGCATTTGCCATCGGAATCCGCTGACAACGCTGCCGAATCCATGCAAAATTATTCGCGGCAATAATTAGTACCTCAGCAGCCATGCCGAGTTGATTCATATCGCGTGCCTCTTGTAATAAAGCGTGGTTGCGCTCCATCATGACGATGATGGAGTCTGCAACAATATGAAGTAGCGAGTGCTCGCCCTCGGTTAATGAGGAGACCGCCGTGTATTCTCCATCCACCGACGTCGTCAAGCCGACAGCACGTGATAGCAACTGAAGAAAACCCAAGACAGCGCCCCACTGCAGAGTGACGCCCGACAACATTGGTGCGTCTCCCTCCTCGCGGCCGCTATCGGCATCACAGTCTCGGCCCACCGCGTCATGGCTCCCGCTCCCATCATTGGCCTTACACCGCCATGGAATTCGTCGCTGCAGCAAAACGGGCACGCGTTGCGGCGCGCTGTTGGCGCCAGTGCTCGGCGCAAAATAAAAACCACACGTGGACTCTCGAATAATCCCCAGAGACAACTGCCCAGTGCGACACCATGCGGCCTGCTGAGTGCGCAATGGTGACTCTGAGAATGATGATGGTGATGACTTCGTTGAGTCACACGGCTGCAAGACCTCCTCAACCACCAGACGACTTGCCCTCGACGCAACGTCAGCCATCAACGCCTCCGCATCGTCCCCAGCCGCAACAGTCGCCTGTGAAAGCGGCTCAAAAATTGAGTGTGCGCGCCTGAAGACGTCGTCCAAGCGCCTATCGACTCGCGTCTCCTCGACGACCGGCAAAAGCCGCTGCATAAACGGCCCACACTCCCCGGTGCCCCCCTCGTCGCGGTGCGTGGAATCAAAAGAACGACCCTCAAGGCGGCTCACGATCCGCGCCACGTGGCACGCGGTCGCCTCCCCTACGGACGCCACCCTGTCGCTGCTCATTCTCCCTCCCGTTACACTTCCAATTGCTTTTCGACTCCCTTTTTTTTTTTTTTTTCCCTCTTTCTCCCTTTAAGGCGGGAAACGCAGAGCGAAGGGCCGGTGTATACGCACTCCGTGTGCGCACCGGTACGACACCCACCCACCCAAACACGCGGAGTCACACACACCCTAAGACTGCAAAGCAAAAAAAAAAGAAAAGAGTTCAGAAACACTTAAAAACAGTGGCAGCGGCAGCAGCAATGATGATAATACACACATTTGTATATTTAGTCAATACACATGTTTTGTTGCTGCTTCTTTTCTTTTTTTTTTTTCTTTGTGAATGAGTAAATAAAATCAGTAAATAAATCCCCTCCATTGGTGCCAAGACGTTTTTTATTTTTTTATTTATTTATTTATTTATTTATTTTTTATTATTATTAAATTTGGACCCCCTCACCCCTTGCAGAAAGACGGACACAAACACAAAACATTCACGTAAACAAAAAAAAAAAACAAATCGTGCGTTAATGAACCAAACATTATTTCCCCTGATTTCTGGCTTGCGGTTATGTGTGCAAACACTGAAGGATAAGTAACAAAAAAAGGAAGAAAAAAAAAAAAGGAAAAATGGCGACATTCATAAAATAACTCCCCCCCGGCCCCACCCACCCACCCACCTTTTTTCCTTTTTTCTTCTTTGGGGAGCGGAGGAGGAGGAGGAGGAGGGGACCTTCTTGTTTGTTGTGCACGCGTGTGTTTTGTATTTCTGTCGTCCCTCCTTTTTTTTTTTTTTTTTACCGTCAAACGTCACAAAATATTTACAATAATAAAGACAATTTAGATCAGCACGCATGTATTACGTTATATAAATATATATATATGTGTGTGTGTGTGTGTGTGTGTGTACACCACATGCATCGTGATCATTGTCCGTCTGCGAATGGGAAAGAAAGAGATGGGAGGGGAGGAGGGGAGGAGGGGAAAACAAACAAACAAATAAATAATAAAATAAAATAAAATAAAATAAATTTTTGGGGCCGAGTGGGAGTAAAAATGCTCCACACACAAAGACAGGCAGACAGACAGACAGACAGACAAACACCCATGATGGCCAGCAAGAAAATCACAAGAAGTAGAGGGGAGAGGGAGGAGGAGTCACACCGCGGCCCCCCGCATTCTCACAGAAAAGAGCTGCAAATAAGTACATGCATGCAAGCGGCCATACAGATAAATAAAATAAATAAATAAAGGAAAGAGGGGGTTACGTGAAAAGAGCACCATGTAAACACGCTTTTACCCACGGCGTATATATACACAAGGGAAGACTGTCAAGGAGCACATCACAATTGCCACCCACCCACCCACAGACAGACAGACAGACAGACAACAAAAGAGGGGGTCAAATAAATTAAATAAATAAAAAAATCCCCCACTCCTCGGCCACTTAATTCCCCCTGTTGTTGTTGTTGTTTCATCTCCTACGGCCCCTCCATCCCCGCCTCACCGCCCCATCGCCCCTGTTGCATTGGGGGGCGGTCTAACGCGACAGCAGCAGGCGTGCCCGCCTCCCTCTCCAAACAAACAAACACAAACCAAAGCGACAACAAATAATAATAAAAATAAACAAAAGGTCTCCACGCCTCCCCCCAAACAACAACAAAAGAGAAAAAAAAAAAGAAATATGCGCTAAGGATGAGGTCTTCTCCCCCACAGACCCCCACAAAAAAAGGGTGAACGTACAGCAAGACGGGGTGACGGCATTTTGTTTCATTTCACCCAACATCCCCTTCCTTCCCCTCCTCCCCTCCAAAAGAAAAAAAAAAAAAAACGGGCCGCACATTCCTTCCACATGCTTCTGAAAAAAAAAAGGCACGACGAAGGCGGTGCAGCAACGCTGGTGGTGCGTGACATGTCTGCTTGCACGGCGTCGTCTGACGTTAGTGGCATCCCCTGCCCTCCCTTTTCCCCCTCCTCCTCCTTTTGGGGTAAAAGCGGGAAAAAAAAAAAAAAAGACGCGTCGGCAAACAATCAAACAAGAAAAATAAAATAAAATAAAAAGAGCAGAAAACCAAACAAACCAAAAAAAAAAAAAGGAAAAAAATGGAAAAAAAAAGAAAGCCGCATATGCACGACGCCCTTTTTCCTCACATAGAACAGTAAAGACAACATAATGATAAATTAACAAACAAGAACGAGCAAAAGGCATCCAAAACACAAAATAAAAATAAAAATAAAAATAAAAGGAAAAAAGTATAAATGCATCCACAAGACATATTTATATTTATATATGCCTCTGCTTACACACGTACGTACGTACGTATGCAACCGCCATGTGTACACCCCCACAGATGTACCTGCTATTATTATTATTATTATTATTTGTTTGTTTGCTTGTTTGTTTAGAGAAAAGGGGGGAGAAACAGAGACATATTGAAACCACGCAAAAAAGGAAAAAAAAAAAAAAAAAAAAAAGAGAGAGAGAGACGCATGAGTGTATAAAATAAATAAATAAATAAATAAATCGGATCAAAGAAAACAACAACAAACAGTTAAAAAAAAAAAAAAAAAAAAAAGGCAGCCAACCATATACAGACAAACAGACAACAACAGCAAAAATAGAAAAATAAATAAAAACAGGCTGCACACAAGAAAAAAAAAAAAAAAAAGATCTTTGACGGCAGAGCAAACGGGTAAATAAGTCAAAATGGACAAAACATGCCGCCTTCACACACACACAGACAGACAGACAGACAGACAGACAGAGAGGCTGTATGTGCATACAAAAGCAGGGAGAAATAAATATTACTTCTGGGCAGGTGTAAGTTTGGGTGTCTTCTCACGTGAAAGGGTGCGTCCCCCTCCCCCCCCATCGCTGGTAGCCGCCCTCCTCCTCCTCCCATCACCGACGCATGCGACCCCGCCGGTGTGCCGACACGCGCGCCCATTGGCCCGTCACGAATTGAGCACACGCATCCCTGTTGCTCAGGGAAGGGAAGGGTGGGGAGAAAGAAAGAAGGTTGCAGCCTCCCCTCCTCCTTCCCTCCCCGTCAGTTCAGCAGAGCGCACAGCAACAACAACAAAAAAAAAAAAAAAAAAAAATGTCATCGCCGTAAAGAAAAAACAAAAAAAAAAAAAAAAAACAGAAAAAATGGAAAAAATGGAAAAGGAAGAAAAGAAAAAAAGAAAAAAAAAGAAAACCAAAAATACAACGCACGAGTAATAAGCCAATACGTGAAAACCCACGGGAAAACAAACAAAAAAAAAAAAAAAAGATAGAGAGGTTTGCGAAGGGATTACAATTAACAACATAAAACAAATCCTCTCACGTAAAACAAATCTGCAAAATTCGCAAATATAAATAACTGCGTATTTATGCATGTATGCATTTTATACAGATTTTATATTTACCACGGATACTGAGTAAAGCCAAGTAGAATAATAATAATAATAATAATAAAAGGGGGAATGGGGTAATGGGGTGAAGTAATGGGAGGGGGAAGGGGGAAGAAGAAAAAGAAAAAAAAAGAAAAAAAAAATAGAAGTTAAATATCGATACAATCAAAAAGAAAAGGAATTAAATAAGTAAATAAAAAAGAAAGAAAAAATCTCAAGAATAAAAAATTTATAAAAAGACGCCTTGCCACGGGTGGTTGAATCGAATGCACGACATCTGCAGGTGGAAAAAAAATGTTTCCCCTTCCGCATCCAGCTCATGCGTAAACCCCTCATTTGTTAATTGTTTGTTTTGTTTCATCCAGTAGTCAAAATGGACATGCATGCATGCATGCATATTTATTTATTTATTTATACGTGTTTGTATGTTTATGTGTGTTTTTGTTTTTTGTTTTTTTTTTTTGTAGGGCATTTCGTAATTATTATTTGTTTTTTTTTTTTCTTTTTTGTCGATATTTCGCCTTTTAATTCCCTCTTTTTTTCTTTATTTGTTGTTGAATGTTCGCACACTCGTTTCTTCTAATGAAATGTCGTACCGTTCAATTTCTCCTCGTCCCTCGCCCCCTCCCCCGACTTTGTTTTGTTTTTGTTTTTTTCTGTGTGTGTGTGTGCGTGTGTGTATTTTTTTGTCATTCCTCCACCGCTTCGTAAGGTGGATGGAAGTGAATGCCTCTAATTCACCACGTTATTTATGCATGTATGCGCTGCAAGAGTGTGTATTTATGTATGTGAGTATACAATATATATATATATATATATACAACGGGTGGTTACATGCAGACATAAGACTAATTATTCTGCCTGCATCTGCACACCAATGTATGTATCTGTGCAAAGCTGTATTACGGGGTATGAGTATACTCGACGGAGAGGCAATAGCACGGTTCTTTCTTTCTGTCCGTCCACAGCTGCCCCTCTCCCCCTTTCACTCTCCCTCTCCCTCTCTCTTCCAACTGTTTGTTGTTGTTGTTGTTGTTGTTGTTTTGTTGTTTTGTTTGGTTTTGATTATTTGTTGTTGATTCGTTATTTGATTTATTTATCATTTTGTTGGCTCGTTGGTTGGTTCGTTCCCAGCTCTCGATGCTCATTGGATAAATTCCTCCCTCAGTGAAGTCCGTGTAAAATTTTTGCCTCGCCTTCCCCCCAGCGCACGTTGCGGTACGGAAGGTGCAGGAATCAACGAGACATTATGGGGGATTCCACAAGGATCCCATTCAGTCCCTCCAATGGCTTGCTGCCAGCAGTGAAGCTCACCACATCAAGAGATCCCATTGATGAGTGGAAAGACGAGTTGCATCCCTGCACCATCGGCTCCGACTGCTGAAAGATTGGAATGGAAGGTGGAAAAGAGACCGGCCGTATCAATGTCTGGTATGAAGATTCATTTTGAATCGTAGGTGCCAACTGCGACGGTACCCCCACGATGCCACTTTCAGCATTATGGATAAGACTGATATTACTACTGCTCTTCTTCATGACCGTACTGTTTATATGTGCATGGTTTCTGTTATTACCAACAGATGCGTTAGGGAATACGATCACCGGCGGCGAAGGTGTGGCGGGTGGTGAATGCGGCGACGTGATGGAACCCTGTGGATGTACAGCCGTTGCTACCATCTGCGGTTTATTTGATGTTGGTGCCAAAACAAAATGTGATGCTGCGTAAAATTGAACGGGAACGGCATTTAAAATCGTTACGGTCGGTGGCTGCATGGCCACAGGAGTTGTGCAAACCGCCTGTGAAAGAGAAACGGGCGGCACGCTTTGAAACGGCATGGCGCCTGGCTCATTTCTGGGGTCTACGTCAGTGCAATCCACGGAATACGGGAGCGGGGCGCATAGCTGGGGTGACGGCAGGGACGGCCAGTGTTCGCCCGTCTTGTTCGCCTGCATTATGACAGCATCGCCCGTCTCACTTTTTGGCTGCGCATTCCCCGGGCCGAACGCGGGAGACACGCGCAGGTGTTTATTGTGGATTTTAAACCCATTCATCTCCTCCATGGCACGAAGCCCGGACTCCCTGTCCGCGTAGACCACAAACCCGTACCCTTTGGGGTGTCCATCCCTCTTCTTGTCACGAATAACACGGGCAGAAACGAGCGTACCAAATTTCTCAAACATTTCACGCAGAGACTCATCGGAGACAGGCGTCGGGATGTAATTGACGATAAGATTCCTCGGGTCTCCTCCTGACGGCATCGTGGCCACAAAACAACAACAACAACAAAACAAATAGCCAAACAAATAACAAAAATAAATAAATAAATAAATAAATAAATAAATAATGGAAAAATGAAGGCAATAATAGTTTTCTTTTTTATTTATTTATTTATTTTATTTTTTTTTTCGTTATTTGTTTAAAAAAGAGAAAAGAAAAGAAAATCCCTTCGTGTTACTTTTGTCGTACCTGTTGAAACAAAAAAACGAAACACACACACACACAAAAGAAAAAGAAAAAAAAATCCTTTGCTTCTTTATTGGCCGCTGCTCCTTTTCCCGTTAGTTGGCCCGCCTCCTCACCACACGCAGGAACCGTCCCTCTCAAGGCAAAAATAACACCGGCCCTTCTCTCAACGGATATTTACTTGTGCAAATGTACGTACGCACGTATATGATATAAATATATATATATGTGTGTGTGTGTGTGTGTGTGCGCCTATGTGTTTGTCCCTGAGAAATAAAGTGTATGCCAATGGCTTTTGGGGGTGGAGATGTGGATAAGTGGGGCCTCTTTTTCCCTTCGCGTTCCACGGTCACCACACGCCTTCCCTTTTCTTTCCTTTTTTTTTTTCTTTCTTTTCCTTCTTTTCTTCCTCTTCCTCGTTTGTTTGTTTTACTTGTGTGTGTGTGATTTGGCTTTTGTTGCTTTGACTCTCCTTGCGCCACGAGGACGATTGCTTCGGGAAATGACTCACAAGCAGTTGCACTCGTGCGCGTCCATTCACGGAGCACCACGAAGCGTTCAGGAGAAAAAAAAAAAAAAAAAAGAAAAAAAAAAAGTAGAAGAGGAGGTGGTGGTGGGCGAAGAGAAAAATAATACAAAAAAAATAAAATAAAATAAAATAAATAAATAAAACCGTGAAATGACATGACATGAAAGAACATCAGGGACAACAAAAAAGAAAAAAGGCAAGGAAGAAATGCACAGTTTCCCCTTTTAGCATCCATAAATGCCACACACAAAGACATAAATGTGGATTTACTGACGAAATGTAGACAACAACTAATTACATGAAATAATATGTGCCCTGGCTCAGCCGGCCACCTCAACGTGGTGCCAGGGTCTAGTACTCTTTGCCAGAGAGGAAGCTAAGCGCCTGCTGTTCATGCTTCAAACCCGATGAGTAGCTATTACTTAGTTTTACGGGCCGGAAGGGCACCAGATGTTGGAGCCATTCTATAATGGCTGCCCGCGGAGTAAGGTTATCCTTGCCACTGAATTCCTTCGTACGCTCACCAGAGCTGCACAATAGAGGTGTAGTTACTACGACTGGTGAGAGAAGAAAAAAAAAAATAATAATAATACGTGATAAATAACACTTTCCTCCCTTCTTTCTTTTCTTCTTTTTGTGTGTGTTTGCCCCCCCCCTTTACTGCCCTTCTCTTTCCTTCTTGTTAATTATCTTTTTTTTTTTTTTTCATTTTTTTTCTTTCTTTCTTGCTCTCTTTTCCTCGTTGTCTTTTTGTTTGCTTTTATTCTTCTCGTTGCCGTTGTGGGTTGCGTGTATTATTCACGCCTTCATTGAATACACACACACACACACAACTTAAAACGTAAAGACAGACTTTCACTTCCGTGCGTATTTATTTTTCCCGTTTACTTCTCTCCCATTTACACCTCCAACAAATACATAGCTGTACATATATACATATATATATATATATAATATTATATATAGCAAAAAGAAAAAGAGGTCCATGAAGGGATGAGCTCCGCTTCAAATGATTGAGTTTTTTGTTTGTTTGTTTGCCCACCATTTGTGGTCGTGTAAAAAGGCGTACAGTAAAAATATATATATATATATATTTTACATCCATCACTTCCACCCACCACCACTGGCACGCGCACAGTCACTGTTTCATATTATGCGCACTTGGCTCACGTGACTAGCCGCCGTCTGAAACGGTGTGCATGCCGTCAGAGGCGGCGGAGGGTCCTTGCTGGATGCGAGCGGCGATGGGGTCGCCCGGGTGATTTTGCGGCAGTCGGTTTACAAACGGTTGCAGTCGATTGCCCATCACACGCGGCCGCATCGTCTCTACTGGGCGATTGCAGCCCAGGCAACGGAAGCCCCTAAACCCCGCGAGTGCATCGGGCGCCCCACCCGCAATGTGATCCTCGCTGACAAGCCGACGGAGGTTATCCATATCGTGCTTCGTCGCCTTGCCTTCAAGCATGTCACGCAGTACATTGAGGGATTTGTCAAGCGTGTCAATGAGACCAGCGTTGGTGGCGTTGAGGACCTGCTCCACCTCTCGCATCAATCGTTCCAAGGCGTTTTCAACATAGTCCCGTTCAGCCTTGTTCGCCACAAGCATGGCATCCGCCTTGCGATGATCGATCTGCTCAATGTATTCCCGCAACGCATCCAATTCATTCGTGGTGCCGTCACGCACCATGTTAAAATTCTGCATGTGTTCTGCCATCTGCTCTTTTAATGCCTGCATTAACTCCCCTTGCGCGGCAGAAGCCGACTGAGCGGCATCTTCATCCCCCCGCCTACCCGCTCCAAGCTCCAGCAACTGTCGCAAGTTCTTCAATTCGTCAGCAAGTCGCTGAAACGCCGCCCGATCAGCCTTCTGCTCGTTAAGATCCATCACATTCGTCTCCGTATGGAGCATACGACGCTGCATGTCCTGCAGACAACGCTGCAAATCATCAAGCACTGCAGCGGAAGAATCACTGGTATCCTTAACAATCGGCGGGGCCTGCATGGGAGCGGCATCGGCCCCCTCGCTCTCCGGTGCCACAGTTGAAGGACGTCGATCACCCTTGTCCTCCTTCTTTTCATCTAGTAGTAGACATGTCTTCTCCAGTGCCTCCGTGTCTCTTATTAACTTATCCACGACCCTTCTTAATTCTTCCAGATCAGTATCGTAATTACGCAAGCCAAGCCGCTGTAGATCCGCCAATTGTTTTTCAATTGTGTTCACGGCTGAGCCCAAAACGCCCAGCTGAGACGGAGTTACTCCAGTTTCAGCGCCAGAAGACATTGCCGCGTTCATAAGACCGTCCACTTTGTTACCCATGCGCTCCTGGGCTTTTTCCAAGGCGTCCATGCGCTCCTTCAATCCTTTCATGCCATCCATAATTGACAAACTGCGAGGAGCCTCAAAAGCCGGTTTCGTATCAGGCACCGGTGCGGCATGCACATCCAATGAACTAACAATTCCTTGCAAGCGACTAACATCATCTTCCAGAGCCTTCACACGACGACGTAAATCCGCACGTTCCTTTGTCGCATTTGGATCTGTCACATCTGGCTTCTCCACGCCCTCTTCGCCCATGTTGACCGTTCGCATAAGATCGACATCAGCATGAAGGTCCTTCATCTCGTTCAGCATCTCTGCCACGACCCGGTTGAGGTGTTCAATGTCTTTGCTGTCTTTCTTCAATCGGTCATAGATCGAGGAGAGGTTGCCAGAACGTGACGACGGTTCTCTTGAATGCGCTAGAGAGCTGGAGGTAGGAGAAGCGCCCTTCAGCGCACCGGGTGAAAGCAGCCCTGAACTTTCCGCAGGAAACGGTGAGTCCGTCCGAAAGGGAATTGACCGGTCCTCTCCATCTCCTAAAAAAGAAGGGACCTCCAAATCACCACCCGACCGTTTTTCCTTACTTGAATAGGGATATCTTCCTTCCTCTCGCTCTTGTGACCGCATCCCCTCTTCGGGCATCTGAAACACATACTTTTCTTCCTTCCTGCCACGAAGTGGCGGCTCCACCGACTCACCAGTGGAGCCACCTTCCTCTGGCAACGGCATCACCGGCTGCTCCTCGTCCCTCACCTTGAGTTGTTCCCTCGCACGGCCCAAGATAACATCCCCCATTGGCGTCCCAGTCACCTCCGACACACCACCAATTTGCGTGATGGACGCCAGTGGCCTTCGCGGCTTTACATCCATCACGCCAGTGAAACTACCCTTTCGTCTGCGGGCGTGGTATAATTCCTCAATTGTGTGACGACGACCAGGATGATGAAACTCTCCAATGTGACGCTTGATTTGATTTATCTCTTCCCACAGTTGGCTTGTATCCACAGGCGGAACGTCCGCTTCCCTGCCCACGTCTTCAGTAGCCTGCTTCTCAAGATCCATCTGCTTACGCAGTTCTTCCTGTTGCTTACGCAGTTCTTCCTGTTGCTGAAGCAGTTCTTGCAGCTGTGCCTCTCGCTCCGCGTCCCGCTGTTGCAGGTTTTTTAAGGCGTCCCTGAGCTCACTGATCTCGTCATCCTGTCGCTCGTTTTCTGACTCCACATTCTTGGTGCGCTGGAGAATTCTCTGAAAGAGCAGCTGAAGGGGCTGAAAGGACATTGAGAAGCTGATGAGCTTCGAGAGGTCCACCTCAGTTGTAACATCCGCCACCTCAAAAGACATCTCCGCCCCTTTCCTCTAACAAAAACCACCAACAAATTTGACTCTCCTTCTGTTCCTTTTATTTCTGTTTTTTTTTGTTGTTGTTTTTTCTGTTTCCTTCCCACTCTTCCCAAACTTCTTTTTCTGCCTTCCTTCCCCCTTCTTCCACCACTTCTTAATTTCTCCACCTCCTGCTGCTTCCTCTTCTTCTTTGCCTGTTTGTTTACTTTATAAAGGATGGAGGAATTGCGCTGCTGTCGCGTGATGTCTCTTTGAGATGACTAATTGTTTTTCTTGTCACGCCGTTGCAAAGTGCGTGGCGCTTTTCTTTCTTCGTCGGCTCACATAAATTCCATATGAACCCGCAAGAGAAATGCAAGGAAAAAGATTAAAAAAAAAAAAAATAGAGAGAGAGAGAGAGGTGGGGAAAGGGTTTTGGTCATTTGTGTGCATCAGCGATAAAAACACACGGGAGAACAGTGTCCGAAAAATTCAAACAAAAAAAAAAACAGTGGCAAAGGCAATAAAGGAGATGCCGCGCAAATGGGCAAAGGAGATGAGACCCAACAACTCTCATCTCGGCTATGAATGTGCGTAGGGACATGTGTGCACACATACACACACATATATATATAAAGAGAAAAAGAGAGGCTCTGTCTCTCCCTCTCTGTCTGTCTGTCTCCTTCCTCAAAGAAGCGGCAGTTTAAAATCATTTACGGTTCTCAAACCCAGGGAATGCGTACGGGGAGCAGTCGCCTCACGTCCTCCTTCTCCGCTAGTAATTTTTGCTCCACAAACCGCCTCAGTGCCGGCATCACCCCCGCGTTTTCAATTTTGAGCTCCTCGCATGTTTCCAGCCACAAAAAATTTGCCGCGTTGTGCTTGCCTTTGCTGGGGGTGTCGTCAACGAGAATCGTGTTCTGTGGGGTCGCGATGTCCGGGAAGCGACGGAACACCTCCCGCACGTCCTTCACGGTCGCGTGCTTGTCGTCACGCGTGGCGGGATTCGTGCGGCGGAACTCATCCGACGTCGTGTGCTCGCGAGACCACACAAACGCAAACCGCACCTTCGGCGCTGCGCTCTGCACATGGAAGACCGCCTCCATCACCGGCGCCGTGTTTCGGGCGGTCGTTGAGCTCCAGACGGCAAGTGTGCAGTGCTCCTGCAGCGCCTGCAGCGTCTCAAGCGCCCCTGGCCGCAGCCACACACGACTCATACCGACAGTGATGGCGCCATCAGGCATGCCGAGCGGCACACGACTGGCGTGGATGCGCTCCACGAGGGTGCCACGCAGGCCAAAAATAAGCAACGGCCTCATCCCGCTTACAGCCGCGGAGAATAATTTTAAAAAAATAATATAAAATAACCACCCACCGGTCGGTCCCTCTTTTAAACAAAAGAAAAAAAAAATGAAAGGAAAATTTCCGTAGGGATTCAGGTCACAATATTGTCCCAGAAGCCCGCACTTCAGACACCGTCACGCTTCACAGTCCAAAAAAAGAAAAAACAACGGCAAAACCATTCGTCCAAGAGGCACACAAACTGCAAGAAAGTCAGACAGACAGACGGGGAGTGTGTGACGTGTGCGACAAGCAATGAAAATTACATGCGAACAACCAACAAGAAGACCCAGTAGGAGAGAAAAAAGAAAAAAGAAAAAAAAAACATAATCATCATCTTCAGAATAATAATAGTAATCATAACAATAATAGTAAATATCAACATGCATCAAAGGCTAACACCGAAGAATAAAAATAAAATAAGTCATATTGTCGCTCCAGTCAATCCCCTATACCGGTCAAAAAGGTTCCATCTCGTCTTCATCCGTGTCACTCTCCCACGCTGATTTAAACGTGTGTTGTTGTTTTTTTGTTTGTTTGTTTTGTTTTGTTTTTGTTTTTTTTCTTCGTGGCTCCCCCAGCCCACACACAGACAGACATATTCATCCACAGCGGTAGGTCCCCTTAATTACAGGTGCGCAGGCGCATTTAAATAAAATGAAATTTAAAAAAAAAAAAAAAAAAAAACTCACCAAAGAGACGCCCATCCCATTCCTCCAGTGAATGCGCATCAAATGAAAAAAAAAAAATACAGACAATTCACAGTGTTTTTGTGGGCATAATTGCTGCTCCAGTGAAACCCCTCCCCCCCAAAAAAAGGAAAAAAGAAACGTCACCGGTGTCTTTATTTCTGGTGGCACGTGTCGCCGGTAATTAACATCCGGCGTCCCTTCCCCCCTCCTCTGCCCCTCTTTTTTTTTCTTTTTTTTATTATTCTTTGGTGGTGGTGGTGGTGTTGTCATCCTCTCTTTTTATTGCTCTATTCCCGCCAAAACAACACCCGATGTTCGTATGGTGCCATGAATCGTTCAAAGCGTTTTCTTCCAAGCTGCAGGTCCGGCATCCCCATCATGACCACCGCCACAACGCAGCCACAGCCGGTGTAAAAGAAAAGATTTGATAAAGCATACCACACCCCACGCCGCTCCTGCCGCTGTCGAAGGGAAACCACACAAAAAAACAATACAAACCATACAAAAAAAAGAAAGAGGGCACACATCCAAGGGACCGCAATATAAACCGGCATGGGCTCTTGAAAGTAGCCTCCCTCTATCGACAACTTGGCAATCCAAATGGTCTCCAGAAGAAGTGCCGATATCGCCACCCACGCCGTTGTGCCCAGCCTTGTCGTCTTCGAATTATTCGAGTTAATGTACGTGTAAATTTCGCGTATGGCCGGCATGGCAATAAGACCCCAAAGCGCAAGACGCAAAATGACAAGATGGTAGTTTGGACGCATTTGCAAAATATGTTTTATTGTAAAACAGTTTGCCTCCGCCAGAGATATTAATAACAACAACGTGAGAAACTGCATGAAACGCTTTGGGTCATGAAACACATTCCATTCATAGGATTCAAAGCTGCGTGGGCCAAGCTGTCCAAGAATACGTCGCGTTTTCCCCTTGTATCCTTTAATGTTCCGTAAAGCAACCCAGTGATACTTCTTTGCCCGGAGCCTCCGCAAAGCAAACATCCCAAGTAACGTCCCACCGCCATTGCACAGGAGCACATCTAACAACAGATGGTCCCACCAACACTCCTTAAAGTTTGGAAGGGCATGCTGGAGTGTAATCTCAATGATCTCAAATGTAATGGATACACATGTTGCAAAGCGCCAATCCCGTAAAATAAGTGTTTTTACAAAGTAACCAATAAAATGAGCAAGAATAAAAACATCACATGCAGTGCGAATAAATAAATACGGATCACTTGAAGTGGAAATACGACAGTCCTCCGCATATTGACGCTCAGGTAATGCCTCAAGCAACGCAGGGTCGTAAAGACCCATAATGGCACGTACCGTCTCTAAATTTTGAAACAACAAAAATGACAACAGTGCAACATATAGCACACCGCTGGCCAATACAGCACGCCACACAAATGGATGTGGTCGCACTAGCAACGAGTCCGGCAAATGAATAACCCCAAAAACAATAAAAGAAAATGCTGAAGCTGCCAATCCAAGTTTCACATTAGCCACCACACCCATTTGGGGAAGGTAGTAATAACGTATCATAAGAAGAACAAATACTATGAAAACAAAAAGAGCCGTAATTGTACGCGGCATGTAGACAAGATCGGTAAAGTCCTTTTCCCTAACGTAAGGACGTGGTGAACGAGGCTCTATTCCCTCCCTCTCCTTCTTTTCTTTCCGTTCAGAGCCTTTCCTCTGAATCCCATCCCCTGCATCACTATTACCCTCATGCATGTTAGCATTCCTCGGAGAATTGCTCCTGCGGTTCGGTTTGGAAGGAGACACCTTCTTGTTGGCGTCACCGCATTGTTCTCTGTTCATCTTAAAAAGCAAGACAACAATTGCACTCAAAATAACGCCCTCTCCCCCTCTCCTTATCAATATATCTTTTTTTTATTTATTTTTTTTTTTTTTTTTAGTTATGCGTGTGTCCAATTTTTATTCCTCGTTAAATATGTTATTGTGAGGGCGTCCCTTGTTCGTATTTCTCTGCCTTTCTGTTGTTGTTGTTGTTGTTTCCCCTTTTCCCAATTATACTGTAGGAACTGCGCAGGACAAATAAAAAGAAACATCGCAGTGAAAAAAAAGCCCCAAAAACACACACACACACACACACAGAGAAACAGAACCAGAACCAGAACCAATAAATAAAAGGAATAATCTTCCGGGCAGCTGGCCGGATCCTGAAAGTATCTATGGAAACCAAACAAGTTAGGAAAAAAGGCTCGTTATTTAAATGTTTTCTTTTCATTCAATATATAGAATTCTGTGGACCACCAGCATGGTCCTTTGTCCTCAGTTAGGATTTGAAATATTATTACTTACGAAGTGGCAGACTTTGGGGTCCTCCAACCACAAGACCCCGCCGCGTGGTGGGAATCAAAAGGGGGTGGGTGGGATGGCAAAATAAAAACAAATATTATCCGGCCTCTATCGGCTCCCTGCCCCTACAAAGTCGCGTTCTTCCCAAAAGATTCATACGGTAGAAAGTATCATAAAGAATGCATTCATTTATCAGGATAAACACATACATTAATTATGTTAGCCAGCTCTCCCGCGATCATTCTTTTCACAAGCTCCTATTAAAGTTCACGTCATGTCTACTTTCAACGATAACACACACAAAAAAAAAAAAAAACGACCCTCAAATTTCCATACATGTATATATGTGTATACATACGTGTATATACATATACACTTCATATTCATAATTTCCTCTACACTTTTTTTTTTGCCCTTCTTCTTCTTCTTCCTACGCCCGTCCCTCTTTTTCGCTTTTTTCCACTTTAGACTTTTTTTCGGAGTCCTCAGGCTCACCTCTCCCATCACAGTCATCGATATTCCTCCCGGTCTTCAGGGACACACACTGCCGTTCAGTTAAGGGATTGACGCAGGTTAAGATATGTTCGAATAGCGATGTTGCCCTCAGCCCACGTACACCCCCTTGTGCTGCTGCCGCAAGATCAGCTGCGGTGCTATGGGCAAGACATCCTCCACACGTGGCCTGCCAAACTGAAAACTCCTGTGCCAAAAATCCTGAAATAACACCCGTCAAGACATCTCCAAAACCACCGGTAGCCATGCCGTTGTTCCCCGCGTCTGATACAACACAACGCGAGGAAAGAATACCATGTGCGGTATTTAATGCATCGACAGAAATATCTATGTCCTCGGCGGCGCAGATTACTGTGCCGGGCCCCTTCAGCAGTACTGTGAATCCATAAAGGTCTGCCAGTTTCTTTGCCGCCTGAAATCGATCCTTTTCAACCTCTTCAATAGTGCACTGCAACAACCGCGCGGCTTCCCCTGGGTGGGGTGTGATGACCGTTTTTTTGTTTTTGCGTTCAAGTAGTCCAAATTCTTTTAAATTCCCTGATGACACCATTTTCGAAAATAAGTTTAGTGCGTCCGCGTCAAGTAGAAAAGGTTTCTCTGTAAAATATTCACGAGTGTGAGCAATCTGGAGGACGACACGTTCAGCCCATACAGCCTGCCCAATGCCCGGCCCCACAGCCACACACGTCGACCACTGAATTAGATCAGGCAGGGAACATTCCTCGGTATCATAGGCCATCACCTCCGGACAACGGGATAGAATTGGGCCGATGTGCGCTGACCTCGTAACGACGCGAACAAGACCGACACCTGTGTTTAATGCTGCCTCAGCGGCCATAATAATCGCCCCACCAAATTTGTGATCACCACCAACAAGAAGTAGTCTGCCGTTCGAACCCTTATGTGCACATGGGGATGGTGTTTGAGCAAATATCGTCTTTAGATGTGAACTCACAATTCGGCGACAAAAAAGCTGACTTTGACGCTTTGGATCCAGCATCCATTCCCCAAGCTGCAGGCAGTCATAATGCAAGGTACCAGTGTAGTTTCGTGCTTGACCAGTAATAAGGCCTGGCTTCAATGCGATAAATGTGACCGTATGTTCTGCTCGTACACAAACACCCTCCACAGCTCCAGTTTCGGCATTCAAACCGGATGGAATGTCAATAGACACACAAGGTACGGGAAGGGCGTTGGCCAACTCGATTAAACGCGCGTAATCAGCACGCGGTGCCCCGGTGATCCCCGTGCCCAACAGTCCGTCCACCACCAAATCAACATCTTCCGCCAGATCCGCCTCTTTCCACTGGCCAGCATCGTGGATTTTCACGTCACCTCGCTTTAACAACGCGGCATGCGCGGCGGAAGCCTCTGGAGGAAGTGGTTTTGTTCCCTTGACAGCCAACACCGTCACACGTAGTTTGTCATCCGCGGCAAGGCGAGCAACCTCAAACCCGTCTCCACCGTTATTCCCACTCCCACACAAAATGAGCCAGTGCCTCGATGAAGGATATTCACGGCGAAAGACGCCGAATGCCGCCTTCCCGGCCCGTTGCATTAAATCATACAGCGTGATTTTGTGTTCCCGAGCGGCCTCCTCCTCTGCCTGACGGAGCCACGCCGCTGACCACACACAAGACTGCAGCCTTTCTTCATAGTACCCTGATGTTATACATCGGAAAGGTAATTTGCTCAACCGCATCATTGCTAACACACATACAGACACAGAGAGAAAGACAGAAAAAGAGAGAGGAGGAGCACCGTTAACGCACCCCTCAATATGAATTTCTTCTACCACGTTTCCCTCACCCACCCACTCACCCCCCCCCCCAAAAAAAAAAAAAAGCAAGTGAAAAGTGTGAAAGGGAAAACGAAACACCAAGAATGTCAAAATAAGTGAAAGAGATTTAAAAATATAAATAAATATGTCTGCATCGCTCTGTCAAAAACCAAGACCCAGAGCCTCTTCTAAATCAGGTTCATCCTCGTCAACTGCTGTGTTATTCGCCGCTCCACTCTTTGTCCTCCCATGAATTACCCCAGAAATGTTTGCCACTGATGGTGAAGAAGCTTCAGTAACCGTACTCTCTATTGCCGCGTCGGCGTCGTGCTTCACCTCGCCTTCTTCACGAGTACGCTTCTCTCCCGCTACGGTGCTGCGCGCACCATTCTCATCATGGGCCTTAGCGGGAGATGCTGCATCATCCGCATGATCCGCATCCGGCACCACCACAGTTTCCTTGAAACCGACTGCAGTCTTCACAAACGCGGGTATTTTTGATATGTCTTCGACCGTAATGACAGGAAGTCGCGTGATGCCCTCCTTGTACTGCCGTAGTTGCCTTACAATGCCGTGGAAGGCCCTAATGCTGGGGGCAAGATCAATTTTCCCTGAAGGTGCCTTCGGATCCACAGACATGCCAATAAAATAATGACAACTAAATATCTTTGGTGCAGAAGAGTCGTCCACCGCCCCGGAAGTTTGATGAGAAGATACCTCCATAGAGCCGTTGCCCCCACCGCTGCTACGAGACGTCTTTTTGAGGAGACGAGCTCGTGTCTCAACCTCCTCTGGAGCTTCATAACGCCGTGGATTGAGCCGTATTCGCACGTGCCGAACATTCTCCAATGCATATCCTCGTGACTCTGCTGTACCAGCCCAAAGAAAACGGATCTTCGACTCAACGGCATCCACGTAACCCTGATATGCCTCTGCGTCTGTACATGATACAAGCACATGCAAGTAATACTTGTGCTCACCAAAAAACTTCACAGGTTCTAGTAGTCTACTCCAAATACCATGCGGACCAAACCGTGACTTGGCCTCTTCAGCGGAAGTAACAAGGCTTGAACTGCAGATTTCATGTCCACGTGCAAACTCGGTACACAACTGTCGAAGATTTGTCAATGTCACGTTAAAGCATGCGTTGCCGTATGGAACGGCCGGTGTGAGAACAGGGAAAAGCGCCATCGCATCCGACTTGGACTCACGTGGATCCCAACCGCGACCAAGGTTTGTTTTGACTCGCATTGTTTCGGTTAAATAAATGGCACGATTTTCCCTACCGCTTTCTTGTGGGTTTGGTGAGAACCATGAGTGATATATACGAAAAAAGCGTACCACAATGCCAGCGGCGTTCTGATTCGGGTGGCATGACACACAA